CCTGGGGCTCATAAGACTCAGGTAGTGAAGTCACTCAGAGCAAGACTTTTGGGGTCAGACAGACCTGCTTCTCTGCTTCCTAGTTGTGGACCGTGGGGGAAATAGCCTCTGTGAACCTCAGTTTGCTCATCTGTAAATAGGGGATAAGAATAAAACCCACCTCACAGGATTGCTACAAGATTTAATGCTTTGATGGAAGCAACGTTCCTAGTACACAGCCTGGTTGGTTGAAAAGGTCCACTAAGGTGGTTGTAATAACATACGCTGTCATTCTACAGTGTGTCCTTTGGAAGAAGGATTGAGGAGGGACGAGGGGAAGAGCCAGCATGGCCATAGGATGAGGGCTGAGATAGACGGGTGGTGTTCTCCACGCCCTCCCCTGGCTCCCGAGCCATCCTACCAAAGGAGCCATCCCATATGCTCCCCAGGGAGTTCCTTTTTCTGGGGAGTCCCACCAGCCTCTGGAAGGGGTAACTGCAGTTACAAGTGGCTCTAGCCTCTGGTCTGACACTGGCACAGCCCACGGTCTGCAGGAGGGGAATGTGTGGCTCAGCCATGGTCCTTCATGTAGACCCTGAGGCTTAACATCAGACCGACACGGGCATCCAAAGTACCCTTACCGCGAGACAGCCCGACCAACTCCAATGCATTTCGAGATAAGCGCTCACCAGGTTTTGTGATCCATATACAGTCTGACAATACTCGTCAATCCTCTTGACAGAGAGCCAGGGTCGTAATGTTTTAAACACGCTTTGCGTCTTGCAACATACTTAAAGTAGATCAGTGCCATAAATTTGGATCAAATAGGTACCACATGGGTATACAACAATACTTGCAGTATCTAGGCAGGCGGGCTTTGAGAGGACGCCAGGTCCAGTCCAGCTGGAGGGGGTGGCGGTGAAGGGAACTAACCATTAACAAACTTCACAGGCTGACAGTCACCTCTGCTGAGAGTTAAGTTCCACCCTCTGGGACAGAGCAAGAAAAGGTCACGTAGAGGGACCCTCAGTCACCCCACAGGTCCCACTCACACCCTGACTTTTGGGCAGCCAATGGTCTCTGTCTCAGCTCGATGTCCCACAGGCCAGCACCCACTCCTCCCTGAGCTGTTGGTATGGGAGCAAACGCATCTTCCCAGCAACTGTGACGAAGCCACCCTTCATGTTAGTGCCCCTTCCTGTGCCTTATTCCAAGCAGAGAACAGAGCAGGGAGGCGAGAAAAAGAGGACTAGTGGGCGAAGAAAAGGAGCTTGGGGATAACACATCTCGGAAACCTCAGGGGAGGGGTCTATGCACAGTTAGCTTAGCCTGGGGTGAGACTCCCGCCCCCAACCCCCAACCCCATCCTGAGCAGACATTCACTTCTGCACCAGGGTGCAAAGATAGGCTGGGCACCAGGCTTGCACTTATGAGACCTAGCTTCTAATTCCAGCATGGCTGTTCACCGGCTATGAAACCTTGGGCAAAATATTAACCTCTCTGAGCTTCTTATTTGTACACTCAGGATAAAGAGTTCTAGTTACTGAGTTGTAGTAAAGATTGAGTAAGACAAGGAGTGAATAAACTTCGGCTAATCTAGAGATGTGAAGTTTTGCTGCACTCATCTCTAGGTACTAACAGACAAAATATCTCACCACTGAGAGTTCAGAGAGGAAGCAAACTGCTGCCTGAGCATGGAGATCCATAATAAGGACACCTGCTGTCCAAGTGAGGCTGGGACAATGGGATAAGCACTTGTAGCCTCCCAAGGAATGATCTCAAGTCCTTAGGGGTGGGACTTGAGACCTCCTGCTGTTGGCCACATTTCTCAGGGCCTGCCCTCTGGCCTCTGATGAACCAGGAGGCAGTGTTGAGCTGGTGGCAAAGCGAGGGACCTGGCAGAGTGAGGCCAGCAGAGAGGGTAGGGTGCTAAGACCGCCTGAAGACTGCTTGGCTTTGTGAGGCTGGTGGCTCCAGTGATGCCTACTGAAAAGACTCAATGACAGACTGGGAGGAGTGGAGGCAGCAGGAGCCTTCCAGAGACAGAGGGAGAGAGGAAGGGGGAGCAACGGCCTCACATTCCTTCCAGATTCCATGAGAAGAGGCCATTGCAGAAGAGCAGGAGGTAGGGCACCTGGCAGAGAAAGAAGGGATGGGGCAAGAGACCAGGATGAAGGGGAAGGGCCTTCTCCTCAGTTCCTCATGGGGTTCAGGAGTGAGGATGCTCTGACAAGCCCTGGATGTGCGTGGAGAAAAGACCTGGACGATGGCTGGAGGTGATGAAGACTCCTTCCTAGGGGATATGGTGCCAACACTGTTCCCAGGAAGCACTGGTTTCCGCAAGTTGGAAAAGTTTTCATCCAGTCTCCCACTTGATAGACAGACTTCTCTTAACACATCCCAGACCAGTCAGTATCCAGTCTCTCCCTGAACACCTCTGGTGACAGAAGCTCTCCTCCCAAGCAAATGGCTATGAGGAAGCTCCTGCTTATTGAGCTAGAACTGTTCTTCCATCAGGGTTTACCCATCAGCACCCTAGTCATGCAGAAGGAGTATGACCCCCCTTCCATACTATAGCAGGGATGCCCTGAGCTCCCGGGGACAGGAAGTGACCCTCCCCACCCTCAGGACGACACCACTAGTCTTCTCTGCAAATTCAAAGCAGTCAGGGCTGAATGCTTCTTTCTGCAACCCACGTCTAGGATTGCCACTCTCATGGGACCAGGCCTTCCAGTGTCATGACACCCCAGTCCCAAGTGGAGGACTCTCCATCCCCAGGACAATAGACCCTAAGTTCCTTTCTGGATGAACTAGATTTCCGGTTTACAACAGAATGCAGATGCCCATCATGGTTCGATGCCAGCCAAGGGCGTTGCCATGATGCCTGGCGACCCTCTCCCAGCCCAGTGGCTTCTTCGCGGCTTGAAAGAGCTGGTCCGGCTGCTAATGGGAAAACCGACCCCACATTGCACCGGGAGGCAGTAAATTTTATGTGTCTGGGTGAGTGGATGGAAGCAACCGCGGGGGCTGCTTTCCACTTCCTGACACAATGCAAACTTCTCAGTTTGTGCAGAACTAATTAAAGACCTCGCAGGTCTTGCCATTCCATTCACCAGGCACCCATAAAGCACTGTGGTGATGGCAGCCGCCCGACTACAGCGTGTGAGGAATGTGCTTCTCTCTGTTCCAACGTTTCCTCCCCCTCCCGGTGCCTTTCCTTCCTGCTTCTTCTCTCCTCCTGAAAGGCTCTGGAGGCATCCCAGTCAGGAACTGGAGGGCAGGGATGGGCTGCTTACACCAGGTGATACCACGGGAAGGACCCAGACCTGGACTTGAATTCCTGCTTTGCCACTTATGAGCCAGGAGACTTTGGGCAAGCTTCAGTACTATGATTTGAATGTATTGCGTCCCTCAAAGTTCACGTGTTGGAAACGTACTCCCCGATGCAACAGTGTCAAGAGCTGGGACCTTGAAAAGGGAGTTAGTTTATGAGTACTCTGCCCCTGAATGGATAGATGTTGCTACCATGGGAGCTGGTTTGTTATCACGAGAGTGGATTTGCTTTACAAGTGAGTTCGGCACCCCCTCACCCTTCTACCTTCCATCATGGGATGACACAGCAAGACGGTCCTTAACAGATACGGACCCCTTGACCATCAGCTTCCCAGACTCCAGAACTGCAAGAAGTAAATTCCTTTTCTTTATGCATTACCCAGTCTGTGGTAGTCTGTTATTGCAGCACAAAACAGAATAAGACACTCATTTTCCTCATTTGTTAAGTAGAAGAGTCCTATTAGCCTCATAGGGTGTTTCTAGGGTTAGAAATAATGCGGGTTATGTTGAAAGACAGTGCCTGAATCATAGTAGGTGTTCAGTAAAAGTGCCTATCCTCAAATTAATATTATGTTGTTAGAGTTATTGTAATGGGTGCTTCTGGATCTTTGCTCAAATTGTGACCCTGTCTAAAATACCATTTCCCTTCAGATTTGCTGGTTGAAGGACCACAGTGGTGGATTAAAAATGGTCATGAATAATATACTACTCTTCTTGTCAAGAAGTAGAGACTAAGATCCCTTCCACGTTGATGCACATGACTTGCTCATGTGATTTGCTTCAACCAATAGGACATTAGAATATGTGATGCAAGCAGATACTTGAAAAGTACTTATGCCTGGGTCCTGCCCATTTTGAACGGTATCCTGGGCCCACCCTGCTGTCAGGAAGCCTGTCCAGCCCACTGGAGAGTGAGAGGCCACAAGGAGGAGAACAGAAGTCCCCAACCCCCAGCCAGCACCAGCCACCAGACACGTGAATGATGCCGTCTTGTCTCTTCCCACCCCTCCATCTGTCATCTGATGTGACTGCCTATGTGAGCCCAGGTGAGAACAGCAGAACTCCCAGACTGCCAATCTACAGACTCATGAGACATGAACCATCTGTTTTAAGTCAGTAAGTTTATGGTGGCTTGCTACACAGCAATACATAACTGATACCTCCACCCATTTGTCAAGGTTAAGCTCGTGGGTTGTCGTCTCCCAGAAGACTTCCCAAACTCTTCCCCATGCCCTGTATTCCCACAGCACCTTATAATAAAGGCTATCTTCATGGGGTTATGTGTGCAGAAGTGCTTCTGTCTCTGTGGCTTATGAGCTCCAAACCCCCCACATCCATCCTTGCTCAGCTCGGAACTCTGCCCAGGAGGGTCCCAGGAATATGGTTCCCACCCAATCATCTGCCTCAGGGGCCAGTGAGAAGCTGGCCTGTTTTAGTACAGACACAGCCACCCAGGTTGGCAGGGAGAGACCCTCTTGGGTCTGAGGTCAGGCTGGGCCACTGAACAGTGCCCACTCTGTTCCTCCTCCTTCCCCAACTGGAGACACTAAGGTCGGTGCAGCCAACCCCACAGACATTGTGAGGCTCACGCTTAGTGGTGTGGGTGCACAACCAAGTCCTATCCCTGTATGCATTGAAGTGAGGCTCCACTTGGGTTACCACTGAAAGAAGACCCGCCTCCATCTTACCTTCCGGCCGTGGTAGCCCTGGATCCCTGGGTCTCCCTGGGGAAACAGAGAGAAGACCATTAAAGAGGTTTTCCAATGCCAAACTTGGCCATGTGCTGTTCCCCACACAATACCATCCTTCTTCCTCCCAACAACTCCAGGACCTCCTGCCCCCTCACCGCCCACCTCCAGCCATCCCAGGACAATCCATCTCGGCCTCCTCTGAGGCCAACAGAGGTTGCTCTACTCTTCAGGACAAGCCTCGCTTTGCAGAGGCTGAGGAGTGGTGGGAAGGGTCAAATGGGTAGAAACCCAGGAGGCATAAGTGTCAGTTTTTGTTCCACTAACGACTCTGTTGAACCCGGGCAAGTCACTTTTCCCCATGGCTCTCACCTGCCACATTTGTAAAATAGCTGTGCACCATCAGCGCTTGGCATCTTCTCGTTCCCCAGAGCCCCAGGGTCCCCAGCTTCCAAGGGAGAGACTATTTGACATTGTGGGCTTCTGGGGTAAGGGTTCACGGTGTTCTGACACCATATGAAATACCATTGATTGGGATATTGTAACAGTGTCCTAGGCATCAGCCTAGAGTTTCCCACTGGACTCTAAGCTCTTTGGAGGCCGGGACAGTGTCCCCCAGGCCAGCTGCAGCACTTGCTCCGTCCACCCAAGCACACAAGAAGTGCAACTCCTGTTGGACCAAACCAGTTCCTGAGAGGTGGGAGGTGTTTTGGGAGTGAGCCAAGCCTGATCCATCACAGCCGAGATCTCTCTCAACTCCTTCCACAGAAGCCTTCATGGCTGCTTCCCCTCCCTCCTGCCTCCCCTCCCTCCTGCAGGGAACTCTCTGGCCTATCCAGCACATCACCCAGAAGGGCACGTACCTTCAATCCCGGAGGCCCAGGTAAACCCTGTGGAAGCAAGAGAAAGGTAAGTGGAGATGATTTCCACTGGGAAATGGTTGAGGTTAGCCACGTTTACAGTGGAGGCTGCAGGCTAAGGAGCCCTAAAATAGCTATAAAAGAGGACAGGCATGCCACAGAGCAGCCTCTGAAGGACCCCAGAAGGGAATGTGAAACCTGCTGAGGGCACGTGGGGACAACAGGCTTGAATCCCTTTGCAGCCACATGGGCGCCGTGGGCAACTCTGCTGTGCTCACCCACTGGAAAGTAGGTCAGTGGCATCATGCTAAATTAGCAGTGTGGTTTGGTCGAGATCCTCACTCACCCACCTCCTAATTGGGACCCCTCCCTGGAAAGCCAACCTTGCCCAGAAGAACCTTGGTTTTGTCCCTGGCCCTGCCCGCCTGTGGAAAAGCCCTCTGCCTCTTTCTGCTCAGAGTGCTGTGCCCACAGCAGTTGGCCACAGTGAGGTGGTGCGGGCCAAGGGGGCTGCGGGAGCCCAAGGGAGAGGCCAGGGATGCTGGGCCCACCGCAGCCTTGGGCATAGTTCTGGACAGTGAACATGGGCTGGAGAAAGCCATGATGCCTGGGTCTGGTCTGTTTTCAGTTGGTTTAAAAAACATGCTTCCTGGTTTTTTTTTTAAATGTGTGTTATAAACAATCTAACAAAGAAAACCACCTGACTTGGGATCACCAAATGAAAGCCCAATGTGTCAGGAAGTGGGCCAGGGGAGGGCAACGGCCAACATAGAAGTGAATTTTGAGCATTTTTTGGGGGTTTTCTTGGCTTGGTTTGGATCAGTTTGCTAACTGTCACTTGCTTTCAGGTTTTCCCATCTCAAAACCAATGGAAATAAGATGAATCTCCCTCTCCGGGATGCTGGGGGAGAAATTGTGGAAATATTACAAATCCGTTGCAGGGTCAACCTGGGCAGGAGAGCCGGCTCCCAGCAACCTGGGTCTTCACACTATTGTGCTGGGTACCCTAGTCAGCCAGAGCAGTCACTCAACTTAGGGAGACCCTATAAAGAGCCTCAAGACTGGCAGCCGGGCAGCTAAGTGGCCCAACACGAAGCCAAGTGATATTGCATGTGGCCGCATACATCGAGGGCTATTTGTCAAGGGCATCCCTTGACCCAGCGATCCATCTCTGGGAATCCATTCCGGCAAAACCACCAGAAATGTGCACAAATGTCATGTTTCTTTGTCAATGCATCAAATGTTTCACAAAGAATGTACAATATACTTTTATCCTAAGAAAGAAAAAAGAACTTTTTTCTTCTTAAAAAATGTTTTTAAAACATGACTAAAAAACAAAAACAGACATTTCCATTAACCCTTGTCCCTCCAGTAACGTCAGTCTTGTCCGTGGGTAGAAGACTCACTTTCTCTAAGGAGGTCCAGGTACTCTCTCAGTCTGCTGCCCTGGTGTTTTGTTGTATTAAGCTGGGCTGAGAAAGAACAGGCTAGGGCTTGGACCTAGGTGACTTGGTGGTCACTGGGCTTGACCTGTGCCTGAATGTGATCTGCTTGAAGGGATGCCAGTTAGTCTCTCTAGCCTGTTCCCAGCAATGGCCTTGTAGATCCGCAGGCCTGATGTGGGGCTCTCAGATGACTGGACATCCAGCTCAGCATAAACGTGGCTCATCAGAGCGATCCCCACACACACCCAGAAAAGCATGTTCATCCAGGGACTAAGTAGTCAGATGTCACCTTGCTACCTCCTTCAGAACCCACTGCCCCCACTTTAGTTTTCCTAAGTCCAGGGCTCAGGGACAGCCATCACCGGAGCCCTGGGAATCCTCTCTCCAGGCTCCTCCATGTTGCTCCTGGGAAAGGGGCAGCCTGTTAGTGGTGACCTCCCTAGAAGGCAGTAACTGGTCATGGCCTCAGGGGTGTTTCAGAGCCAGAGTGTAACATGTAGATGTAGTGTAACATGTAGAGTGTAACATGTAGATGTGCAGCTCCTTGCATGGCTACCACGTCCAGTACCTTGCCAGACTGTTTTTGCTGTTTGGTGGGGACCCAGTTTCCCATTGCTTACTCAAGGTTTAGAGGCTTCCGGAAAGTTCTTGGGACAAATCTTGAAGGAGAGAGGAAGAGAATACTTACAGGTGGCCCCATGGGTCCTGGCAGTCCTGGGTGCCCCAGAGGTCCACTCGGTCCAGGAGGGCCTGGTGGCCCTGGTGGCCCTTGGATGCCAGCCTGGCCTTGTTCACCCTGAGGTTCATGGAAACAAGTGTTAGAGAGGAGAGCCCTGGAGCTGGAGGCTGGTTCCCACCCCAGTGCCATGCACCCTGTGAAGGCCTGCTGTAGGCTCTGCTGGGAAGGTAGTGGTGACAGAGGAGATTATGGTGGCGTGTGGTGATAATGCTGTGCTGGTGGTGACTACATGCAGGGGCTGGTGGCAGCGAGAAGGTGGCCAAAAAGGTCCTCAAAATGTGTGGCTCCCAGAGAGGACTTGCTGCTAAGAGCAGCTGGTCCTCAGGAGAGAGCCCTGCTGTGGGTGGCAGAGGCAGAAGAGTGAGAAATGACCCCTGGCCCAGCCAAAGACCTGCTCCCAGGCTGGCCAGATGGCCAGAATCCAGCTCTCTTTCCAAGTGTGGCCTGGGCCTGTCTTTGTCACCCTCCCTCTGTGTGGTAAGGCACATCCTCTCTCTAAGCCCCCGCCTCTCAGTCGTCGAATGAGAACAAAAGTTCCATGTTTCTTGTTTCAGCATTTTGCTGTCTTTAGTTATCTGGTCCAGAGAGGCAAATGAGATTTTTAGGTCAGGGGTCATGGAATTTTGTTTGGCTTTGTCAACAACTGAGCAAGAGATTTTACATAAAAAATTTGGATCAGTGACTTCTGTTGGAACACTGGGAACCCTGGCAATGTTGGGCCCACATTTCTGGGTCCCCAAGGAGTAGCCTCTCCTTGAAATGGGGCATGAGCTCTCCGGGTACTTTGGTCCCTGCCCTCTCTGTCCCTTCTTACATGCAGCCTGCTTCTGTCACTGCGGTGATCTGCCTGGCCTCAGACTGCAGTCGAGTTTGCAACCCTTGGCTTGACTGAAGTTTTGAAGCTGTGAAGAGCCTTCTGCTGAATGTGGCTGCCATTATATTCCCTTGCCCCAGCTGACTCCTCAGCCAGCTGTGCTGAGCCCAGGCTTTGCCACTCACCAGGCCAGTCAGCTGTGCTGAGCCCAGGCTTTGCCACTCACCAGGCCAGTCCCCGGGTTGGACTGTGAGCCCAGGAGGGTCAGGATGGCCCTGCATTCCCTTGGGAGGAGGATATAGCCTGGGGCATGCAACCCAGATCTTGGGGCTGGGGGGCAGCCAGAGTCATCCTACATCTAAACCAACACTGATATTTTCTAAGTGGCCTCTCTGGGGATGATCTGGGCTCACTCATACAAGGAAGGACCCATCTCTGCAGATGGGCTGAAACAGAACCGCCTGGCAGGTGTGACAGCTCCGGACTAGATGCAGGGAGACGTGGGTGGCTAGAGCTCTAGCCCAGCCCACCTTTGTCAGTGTGATCTCAGCAAACCCCTATGGCACTCTGGGTTTCCTACTTCCCTGTGTGAAGAAGGGAGCTGTTGACACTAGATGTGAACTCGAGAGGGAAGTGGTGATGATACATAGGGTGCATGACCTAAGGATATGAAATCCCAGATTTTAGGAGCACCTGCTCACACCATCTCTCTGCTGGAACACCCTAGGGTAGATGGCATCCAGCAGTGTTACTCTGGGGCCTGGGCCCCATTGTGCCACGCCCTTTGAGAAGCCACTTTAGGGCTCAGGGTATCCATGGTGGAGGAGGCAGGTGCAGAAATTGCTTTGGTGGTCATCCTGCCTCCAGGCAGTTCCTACACTCCCCCCTCGCCCCGCTGCATGTTGGTTGTTGATGAGTCTCTGGGTGGTGGTGTCTCTCCTGCACCAAGAAAGGATCCACTAGACCTCAGGCTTCAAGGGGGGACCGATGTGGACTCCTTTTCAACCAGACTAAATCTGACCAAGCCTTTGGGTGCTCGGAGCTCCCTCAGAATCCTATGTATTGATGTGCTGCCTTAGATTTTCCATGACGTTTCTACGTTTCTGGAGAAGAATAATTCACAAGCATGGAAGGCTTAGTCTGAAAGAAAACTCCAAGGACTTCTCTGCGATATTCTAGAATCTTCACAACGTCAGAAGTCCATGTTACAGAAGAGAAAACTGAGGCTCAGAGAAGTTAGGCTCCCTAGCCGAGGTTGCATTACAATTCAGAGTGGAGCCAGAATCCCAACTTGGAACTCCAGACTCTTCTTATTCATTCTAAATAAGCCCCCAGCAAAAAGAGCTCATTGTCCAATTCTTCTGCGCGTTGGAAATGACCTCCAACACCATCTGCTAAGCACATCATATCTCATATAAAGTTTCCTGTTTCAACTAATCTTCAATCCAATGTTTAAGCATCTTGCAGAGCCTGTGAAATCAATGTTGGTTTATTGATAGGAAGTGGACTGGACAAGCCTTTCTACGTCCCACGATGGCTGACAGCATAAAAACCTTATTCAGCAGGCAGAATCTGCAGCGGGCAGACGAGAGAGGCCCCTGGGCTTCTTTCTCTACTTTGGAAACCAGGTCTGCACAGCACGCAAAGTTCTGGCTTCACCACCCCATGCTCTTGAAAAGGGAAGGCAGTAACATGCAGTGGCCTGGATCAAATTCTGGACCCCTCTCAATATCTTGCTCAGCAGAGTGGGAGTGTGAGTGGTGGCTCCACCACCAGGGGGCTGGTGTGAAAAGTGCGTGAGAGAATTCACGTAGAATTCTCACAACAGTGCCTGGAACTCAGTGGGGACTCCACAGGGACCAAGGCTAAGGGGCAGCTGTTGAGGTCCAGGAGAATGAGAGAGCTCATGAGAATGGGCTCAGCTCTCCTGGAATGCAGGCTGGCATGGGCAGGGGTGGGCAACAGACGGACCTGGTACTCCTCCGGGCTGCCAATGAGCCTCCTGAGTACTCGTGTTCTGCATGAGTTCTTGGAGCACATGGAGGCTCTCGAGGATTTGGCCTGGCCTGACGCGATGATATGCAGCCTGCAGGCTCGGGTAGCACCGGCGTCATGCGTCCCTCTGTATTTTTAGCTGTTAATTGGAGTGATTTTGCAGCCTTGTTCACCCAGGTGGCTGAACATCCAGGCCCTGGGCTCCTGACCCCTGAGTCAGGCAGGATGGTTGTGTGGGGCCCTGCTGCCAGGTTTTTGAGAGCAGCTGAGAGCCCTGCCACTCCTGGCATCCCTGGGCCTCGGGGCCATTGCCCGTGCAGTGTGAGGAAGATGGGGAGCACGGGGCGGCCATGGGCCACCTCACCTGGAATTGAGCTGAGATGTCTTGGAGAGCAGAGGCCAGATTGCTTTGTTCTTTGGGATGGGAAGGCAGAAAGAAGGAAGCAGCTTCTCACAATGATTACACCTGTTGGTTGTAGACCACCTGCCCTCTTCAAATTCCCTCCTCAAACTCAGGTTATGAGGGATCAGTTGCTGAGCAGTCTGTATAAAGGATGCAGGGCCAACTGGGAGAGCCCTGGATGTGTGTTCTGGAGACCTGACTGTCAGCTTCAATTCTGCCTCATGCTATTTGTGTCGATTCAGTTCTCCAAGCCTCAATTTCCTTATCTCCAAAATATGGATAATAGTAAGAATAACAGCTACCATTAATTGTAGCACTTATAAACTGTGCCATGAACGATTCCAAGTCCTTTACATATACAACAACCACCCTATTAGTATTATCCTCATTGTACAGATGAGCAAGTGGGGACACAGAGAGGTCAAGTACCTTGCCCCAAATCGCACAGTTAGTAATAGGCAGAGAAATTCGGCACAAATCCCTGCTTTACAACTTACTGGCTGTGTGACCCTGAGCAACTTACTTAGACTCTCTGAGTTTTGATTTCATCATCTGTGAAATAAGGATGATCATGCCTAATTTGTGAAACTGTTGAGAGAATTAAATAAGACCAGGCCTGTAAGATGGGTGACATGGTACCTGGCACACATTGGCAGCTGCTGGTGGTGGCTGTTATGCGTAGTCATGGTGTGGTAATAGCTGTGTATTTCCACGTCTGTGGTATTCGTGGGTCCATTTTTGTCTAATTTAATTTCACTGAATTAGAGTGAGGTTCTGGCTGCGTCCACAGCCCCAGCTGGTCTGCCAGGGCCCAGAGACTTGCCAGGCCCCTTGGGAAAGCCATACGAGGTCTGGGCAAACGAAGGGTGTCTACCTGGAAGGTCCGTCTTTTTATGACTGGGGGTGGAGCCAGTCGCACTGAATTGAGGAGAGGCAGCAGCTGAGGAGAAAGATGAGTTGGAAGGCCAGAGGGCAAAGGCCAAAGATCGCAGGTATTCAGAACGATGCCAAAAGTCGCCAGGAAGGCAGGACGGCCAAGAGGGATGGGAGGAGAGGAAGAGAAAAGAGACATTAGCGTGAGCATGGGGAGCAGGAGGGAAGGTGAGGACAGGGCACTCTCACGGTGCGTGGGGTGCAGTGCTGAGTTTGTCCTCGGATGGCACAGCCATCCTTCGGAAAGAGTGGCCCTCAGTCCACACCCTGCCTCGGCCTCCAGGTCAGAGGTCTGGGTGTTGGCTCACAGCCCCCCCGGAATGGGACAGGAGCCCTCCTTGGCCGGGTTTGCCTGCTGTGGCCATGCTGGGCCACAGACGCCACTGGACACACGGCCCAACATTGCACTGCCAGCCCCACCCGTGCTTGCTCGATGGACAGAGATTGCTGGGCTGAGGGAAACAGACCCAGAGGCTCTGGCTAGGAAGCCACAGGATGAACTAAATTGGTACTTGAAGTCAGCCTGGTGTGCGGCAACCACTGGGTTCTTTTTTGGTTGAACAAGAAAGGCTAGTGTCAGCAAATTTGGGGAGGATGGTCAAGGGCAGTGCCAAGCCCAGCTCCCACGGACTGAGCCGGCTGAGGATGCGGCCAGTGTGGGCACATACTAAGTGCTACCAAGGGCTCACCCTGGGGCTTAAGGGCCTGGAAAACAGAGGCTGGACAAAGATGTCTCCAGAAAGTTCAACCGCTTTTTGGGGGAGGCAACTTGCAATCACATTATCTAATGTGATTTTCGTTTCTGTAAATTCTTGCTGCTTCCAGTCCCTCTACCCGCTGAAGCTGAGCACCCTATGGCTTTGGGAAGCAGGTAGAGCCCACGTGAAAGCGAAGATGGCATAGACTATCATCAGTCGCTTGCTTTTGAAAGCACTTGAACTTATACAAGCCTCTTGGGATAAATTAAGAGCCAGGAGGTGCCTAGGTTGCTAATGCGCCCAGGTCGGGATTGGGAGCACACCATGGCCTTTCCGGGTTATTGTTGTGGCCTTTTTGGGCAGGCAGCTGCACACAGGGCCCCACCCCTCCTGGTGCCGGGGCCTGGGGATGTGCAATGTTGGGCTCTGTGTCCAGGAAGCCTCTCAGCAGAGAGAGGCCCAGAGATCTTCCAGAACCTACAAACCTTCAGGGCAATAATCTGGCTGGAGCGCAGAGCTGCCGGCATGCTGCTTACCCACTCCTGGTTTGGGGAGGGATGGAGGTGGCAGAGACAGGGCAATGAGGAGGGTGAGAGGAGAGCCCACAGACACCAGCTCCCCTGCTCTTACCCTTCTCCTCTCCCTCCTTCCCTGGGGAAACTGCAGGCTAGAAGAGAGGAAGCATCACCTGGATCTCTTGGTGTCTTCCCAGCCTGGAGACCCACTACCCCCATCCCGCCTGCAGATGCCATGGTGAGTCTATAGCCCACTAGAAGCTCCCCTGCTTTTCTACTCCTACCTCTTACTTTCTTTTTGAGACTGGACCTTGCTCTGTTGCCCACGTTGGAGTGCAATGTTGCAATCATAGCTCACTGCAACCTCAAATTCCCGGACTCAAGCGATTCCCTGCCTCAGCCTCCCAGGTAGTGAGACTACAGGCATGGGCCCCCACTCCTGGCTAATTTAAAAATGTTTTTTGTTTGCTTGTTTGGTAGAGTCGAGGTCTCACTATGTTGTGCAGGGTGGTCTCAAATTCCTGGGCCCATGCAATCCTCCTGCCTTGGCCTCCCAAAGTGCTGGGATTTTAGGTGAGTTACCACGCCTGCACCCGACTCTTTTCTAGATAACCCTGTTCTGCCCATCAGCTGAGTCCTCAAATTCAACCCCCCTCCACAAACTGACGTGTTCCCTGGACTGCCACAGTGATGATGCAGTGTTTTACTGTATCCTGTGACCAGGGGGGCTTCTGGAGCCTTCTGTCACTGTGCCCTTCCCTCTTCTTGAGTTGAGTTGAGGGGCACAGAGCCCTGTCCTCCCCCATCCCACATGCTCACTAAGGACCGACGACCTACTGTCAAAGCGTCTGCAGTTGTGTTGTCTTTTGTGCTGGGGGATGTTGTCTTTCTTTCGGGTAACATAACAATCCTGTGAGCCCATCATTTCAAATAAACACAGCTGACCTTCTATTATTGTATCAGGATCAGGCTGGCCGGAACACCAGGGCCCCTGCATCCCTGGAGCACATGCTGCTGACGGCTGGCTCTGTCTGTGCTTCTGCCGGCCTGTGTTCCCTAGTACGGGCCCAGTCCTGCCTCGGTCTCAAACCTATCCCAGCCTCTCATGTTCCAGGTCCACCGTGGCCTCTCCCACTCCAGCCCAGAAGCCAGAGGTCAGAGTCTGGTGTGCCTTCCAGCCTCCTGAGAGGCTGGGCAGAGGGTCGGTCCTGCTAACAAGACCCTCCTGATGGCCTTCTAGAGTCAAGTTGACTCCAAGCTCAGCTTGCATCCAACTCTACCTCTTAAATCTCACCACCAGGACCAGGGGTGGGTGACCGGAGGAGCTGGGTGCAACAAGGCCCAAGACAGGGATGGCTATCCTCTCTATCCTGACTACTTGGGTCTGAGAGCAACAAGGCTGACCCACCAGCATGCTGGAGGAAGCAGTGCACATCTTGCCTGTTCCTGTCCCAAGATTGACCCCTGCTGTCAGTGTACAAGTTTGCGGATTTGGAATGGGACAACAGCAGTCTTTTGAGTTCCATATCTTGGAGCGGAGCAAGGAAAAGGGGGAGGAAGAGCCATCTCTGTCCCAAAATCCCCCACCCAGTTTGGAGAAGGCTAGCTGTTCTTAAAGAGGAAAAGAAGAAGTATCTTTTGAATTGATGCAATCAGCCCCCGATTATATCCTATCATTGAGATTTGGGTCATCTAAAGCAATGACTAATCCAAAAGTCCCTCTTCTTGGGCCAGGACAGGCCACCAGAAAGGCACAACACAGTCCCACACACAGGCTGGACGGGTAGAGAGTCAGACGTAGACTCATACAAGCTGCATGGCCAAACATAGAGGGCTGTGTGCAGAGGAGTCACAGACCTCCAGACACACACGGTGCAGGAGACCCCCAGACACCCAGCCAGCCACAGGGGTGGATGCACAAAGACGCACGCGGAAGGGACGGCTCCACACAAGCGTACATACTGACCCATGACACACCGCCACCCCAAGGCCCACTCTGGCTGCTGAGCGCAGAGGGGGCTGTGAGCTCCTGTTCCCCACGCTCTGTTAGGGGCTGGAGACCCAGGAATGGATCAAGGGCCCTACTCAGTTTTAGGGGCTCACTTACCCGGTGTGGGTACTCTCCACACTGGCCCTGGGCATGAAAGAGAAGAAAGGGGGTTAGGCACTTGTTGAGAGGGGAATGATCTCTCAGGGGCACCCCCAGGATTTATGGACACACCACGCAGCTCATCACCCACTAGCCCTGCTGCTCGGTTTTTGTCTGAGCCCTTTGAGGCAGGAAAACTAATTCCACCCCCTGCCCCTGGTTGGCTGTAGAGAAGAAAACCCCAGGGCCTGCCTGGAAGTGGCCCTATGGAACCTAGAGGCAGGACTGTGCCATACACCACTTGCCTTGATGGCAGAGTTAAGAGTTATATTCCATGCCTGGCTGGAGGCTGACCCTTTGAATGGGCCCACTCGACAGCTCTGGACAGGAGCCCCTGGCTGGGAGCAGTAAACACCCACAGCAGGATGTGGACAGTAAGGCCCTTAAGACACCTTCTTTGAGCTGGGGGTGCCAGGCCCTTGTACCACCCACCCGGGGCAAAGCCCACTTGAGTCTCCAATAGAAATTCTACAAGGCAAAGAATGCAATAGGCCAGGAAGGGGCCATGCCGGTGGTTTACGGATTGACACCTCGAAATCTCAGAGGCTCATGGAGGTAGGTCAAGGAACACTGTGAGGGTGATGGCTGCGAGGGGCCAAGAAAGAGGCTGAAGAAGGTCAGGATCCGGGAGGATCCCTCACTCCAAGAAAAGTATGACATCCAGGGCAACTTCACCTGAATCTCTTATATTCTGTGGCACCTCAGGGGCTTTCCTCAATCTGTTGACTAGAACTAAAGTTTGAAAATAACCAGTACAGACCCCTGTTTCCTGAGATGGAGACTCTGGGAAAACTTTACCATGCTTACCTTTTCTCCTTTTTGTCCTTGAGGTCCCTACAAACAGATAGAGATGAGAGAGTTAGAAACCAAAGCAAAGGACATAGCGACCCAAAGTTTCCCTACTGGGGAATAATAAGAAAAGGTACAAACCGGCTGTCCTCGGGGGCCCGTCAGACCCTGTGGGGAGCAAACATACACAGGTCAGTGGTCTGTGGGCAGACAGAAGATGGGCAGATCAGGAGGACATGCCTGGGTGGGGTCTGGGGCTTTTCGGAATGCCCAGAATCCTAAAGGCTGGGCTCTGCCGGGCGGTCCTGTGCCAGATACATTCAAGGTGTAGCCTTATACACAAAATCTCAGCTTCTTCACCCATTAAAGGGCATGACTAGGTATATCCTTCCCACTGTGTGGGGTCGTGATGAAGAACAGATATCATCCTTCATTCATTCCTCCAGTTGCTAACTATCAGATCAGCTATGTAGGAGGCTGCATCCAGACGTCAGGTGGTTTTCTGCTATGATGGGACCCTGCTTCACCACACCAAGCCTCTGGAAGACTCTAGCATATTTCACCTTTCACTTCCGGGGCCTCAGTGATGCCCACTGAACCAGAAGGGCTTCTGGGGACATAGGGGGCTGGGACAGTGCCGCAGACACTGGGAGCTTTGGAGAAACCTTCTGCCAAGGAGAAGGAAGCAGGAAGTTGGCAACTTAAACCATGTTCTGGGCTTCTCCAAGGAATGTAAGAAGTTTTGAGGTTTCCTTCAAGGCTGTCCTGTCAAGTTCACATGGTTGTCTTATCAAGTTCACAAGGCTAAGAAAGGAGCTGAGGCCATGGCAGACCCTTGTCCTCTGAGGAGAACCTGGTATCCACTGGCTCTCCTGGGAGGCTGCACTAGGTTGTCACTGAAGAAGCCTCATGGCTGGTGTGCAGGAAGGAGGGAAAAGCATACGAATTCTGTGATAAAGATCCACTTTGAGGGCAGCTCTTCAGCACACATTGAGCTCACACCTCTTATTGCTCCATCTCACAGGCAGGGTGACAGAGATGAGGCCCTGCAGCTCAGCGAATGGCAGTGCTGGAACATGAGCCCAGGGTTGTCTGACCGCCCAGGCCCAGCTGCTTTCACTCCCCTGCACTCTCTGAACCGGGCCCCTTAGGAGGTGGGGCTCCCAGACACAGCGAGGACCATAAGCAGGTCCCTTAAGCCACCATCCTGAACCAGCCTCGTTGGGGCTGAAGCACTCCGGACCCCCGTGGGTGGCTCCATCTAAGGCGTGGTCTCAGGATGCTATCATGTGGGAGAAGTCTTGCTCCTGCTCCCAACTTGCCAGATGGATCAACCTACAAACTGAGGAACCCAGAAGGGTCATCAGAGGGGAGAAGTGGGCTTTGGGATGGTCCCCGTGATGGTCCCAGCCCATCTAGCTGCTTGAATTAGGTTCCGCAGCCTGTGAACCATCTGACAGGGAATGAGGGCAGATTATAGGTGACCAGGTCATCCTTTCTCAGAACAGAGAGGAGTGTGATGGGAGAGGAGGCCAGGAGCTGAGAGCAAGATAACACAGGCTCAGGACTACAGAGACTTGGAGGATTGAGTTCAGTCATCTCAAGTGGTGGCTCATGGGACAACTATGGTCTCCATAGGTATTTCGTTTGTCCTACACAGTTTTATTTCAATTAGTTGCCAACACTTAAGAGCAAGGAGAATGCAAATAAAACTCTGGATTTCAAGTTTATCTTAATTATTTTGAGGTCCAACAACACATGGTAGCAATTAGCACCAGTCAGGCAGCACTTGCCCCTTTAAGGGTGACAGTCACGGGTGACAGGTTCAGCACTCGCCAGCAGCCCTCCACTAACCATCACCGAGCAACAGCTAAGGCGCTTGTCTGCTTCCTGTGTGCCAGGCACTGCTCTAAGCACCTGGTGTTCCTCTCACCCTTATCAGCAGCCCTGTAGGTGGTGGGGTGAGATTTGAACTCAGAATCTGGTTCTGTTTTGCAGCTCTTGTGTCCTGAGTCTGGGACCCTCAATCCTGTCCAACTCCCTGACCTTACAACTGTATCTTCTCAACACAACACCTCATGTCAGGTTCTCGGGGCTGTGTTATGAGGTGGATGGGGCAGAGGTGACCCCCTTTTGACAGGTGAGGACACAAGTGACCCACAAGCGGGTGAGCTCCAGTTAGACATCCAGCAGTGTGCAAGCCACTTAGGGAGAGAGCCAAGCAGGAGGCAGACAGATGGTTAGTAGGCCACAGTAATTACGCTGGACAGCAGTAGCAAGTTAACAGCTCAGGACCCCATGCCAAGCCAAACGGGAGTCCAGTGACTCCATGGCCTGTTGGATTCTGATGGATAATGATGAAATAGCAGGTTCTATCACACTGATGTGACTCAGGGGAGATGGCACAGCTCTGCTCTTCCTTTTAGGTTAGCTCTGACCCCTGATCATGTGTGTAGGGCAGAGGGATAGTGTGGACAGAGTGAAGGCAGAAAGGTGAGCCCCGTGGAAGGGGCCCTTATCTTCGGGACAAAGGCGGCGGACAGCAGAGAGGAGGCGTGGTCGAGGGATTAGACCCCTCATATGGGCCTAAATCATCTCAGCTGTGGCATTTAGGAGCTGTGTGGCCTCAGGCAATGTACTTAGCCACACTGTGCCTCAATTTTCCCTCTTGTAAAGTGGGGCTAACAAACTGTTATGAGAATTATAGAATAGCACCTACTTCTGGGGTGGGGGCCATGAGCTACCTTATGGTAGAGTCAGGCTGCCAGGAAGGGGGAAGGGAGCTAAAGGAATAAGCAGCCCAAAACCCTGGCGTTGGAGCCCCTTATGCCTCTGATGGCAGCAGGAAAGCTCATTCCTGCCTCAGTCTCCATTACTCCATGCATGTGCACAGCATGCACAGGAATAGGGTAGAAATGCATTTGCCACGGGGGTAGCTGTGGTGGAGAGGAAAGCTTGCTGGGGACCCCTGGATGCCAACACCAGCTCTCCGACCCATGGCCTCTGGGGCCTCGTCGCCCTTCTTCTGGTTCTGTGGACATGTCAAGGGTTTTTCTGCCTCAGGGCCTTTGCACATGCTGCTGCACATGTTCAGAATGCTCTTTCCCATTCCCATTTCTATTTTCTCTTAGTTGAATCCTCATCCCTTTCAAAAGCCTCTTTCTCAGGAAAACTGTCTCTGCCCCTCAGCCTGGGTGAGGTTTCTGTTATACTGAGGGTCCTCAGAGCACTGGGGATTGCCTTTTGCAGCACTTATTGCAGGGCAATTTGCTGACTATGTGAGTGATTATTTTAAAGTATGTCTTCCCCACTAGCCACGGGATGCAAAGACAGTGTCTCTCTCGCTCCTATCTGTGTCCCTAGCACCTGGCACAGGGTCCAGCACATTTTAGGTAAATACTCAACAAAAATGAGATAAAGAAAGAAAGGGGCAGGGAGGCAGGGAAAGAGAAAGGGGTACACATAGGGAAGAAGGTGAGAAAATATGGAGGAAAGGGATTTGGGAACTGAGTCTGGATCTTGTTTTGGACATTCTCCAGCTGTGTGACTTCAGGCAAGTTACCTCAACTCTCTGAGCCTCAGTTTCCACAGTCATCAAAGGGGATATTAATAGGACCCGGAGCAAAGGGCTATGCTGAGGAAGAGAGGCGATCATACATGTCGGTGCTTAGCCAGTGCCCACTGCATAGCAAATCCTCAGGAAATGTTAGCTGCATCTGAGTCAGGAGGACAGGCTGAGGCCCAGGAGAGCTGGGGTACTGAGGGTCCCAGGGCAAGTTAGTAAGAGCTGAGGCTTAGCGCAGGCCTCCCAGCCAACACTCCTTCATCCCCTCCCCCTCCTCCCCTCCCTCCCTCCCTTCCTTCCTTCCTTCCTTCCTTCCTTCCTTCCTTCCTTCCTTCCTTCCTCCCTCCCTCCCTCCCTCCCTCCCTCTCTCCCTCTCTCCCTTCCTTGTTGGGGCTCGCGCTTTGTCGTCCAGGCTGGAGTGCAGTAGCACAATCACGACTAACCACAGCTGTCGCCTCCTGGGACTACAGGCACGCGACACCACGCCTGGCTTTTAAAAAAAAATTTTTTGTAGAGACAAAGTCTTGCTGTGTTGCCCAGCTGGTCTCGAACTCCTGGGCTCAAGTGATCTTCTCACCTTGGCCTCCCAAAGTCCTGGGATTACAGGTATGAACCACCATACCTGGTCCCTTTCCATTACCTGCCTCCCTCAGTGCCCCTGGCAGTGCCCCAGGCATGGGTCAAGGGTGTCTTCACACCAGCACTTGGAGAGAGAGAGAGACCCCGCCTCTGCTTCCCGTGCTGCTGAACAGGGATGGGAGGAGCCAGCCGTATTGCTCTCACCACCAGACACAAACTCCAGGCCCACCCGTCCTGTGGAACAGGAAGCGGTCCCTCACGATGCAGGCGTGACCTGGGGGAACTGGGGAGGCAGGAAGGCATCCCAGTCCAGGGCCCATTTGCTCTTAATGGCCTGCCAGTCCCTGCTGAGAACTGGCCCACCATGGCGGTGGGAAGCCCTTGACTCCATTCTGGAAGGGGTGGCCTGTGGCGAGAGCAAATTCCTTTCAGCAGCTCTGCAGAAGGGGAAGGAGCCAGGAAGAAGGTGTGCTTCTCCACCATGCCCAGTGGAACAGGAGCTCTGGTGTCTGGGGCAGAGATGGCACTGAGAGAAGGCGCAAGGCCTCAAGGAACACCAGGCCCCGCAGAAGCAGCCTCTCCTAGAGGAACTGACCCAGTGAGTGGATGTCGGCTTCCCTTGCAGGCCCATGCAAATGTGGTCTGGGAGCCCTGAGCTGGCCACTGACCTCCGCATGCTGCCAGCCAGCGTGGGCTCTCTCTAGACCTCCCTTCTCAAGCACTGCCCATCTCACCTCCCTGCCTTCATGTGAGGATCCAGGGCATGTGGTTGTACACAGCTGGGGAGTGGCCAGGACGGGCGGCCACTCCCACTGTCCCTGTCAGTCCCCCTCTGTCCATCTGTGCCAGTTCCCCCTCCACCCAAGCCTCCCATCCCGTCTCGGAAGGCAGGGAAGCTGGGCTCTTACCATCTCCCCTTTGGGTCCGGGGTGGCCCTGGAAGGAGAAACGGGTGAGTACCGGGGACACTGTTTGCAGCCCGGAAGCCCCACATGCTCCTCCCCACCACCAGCCTCCATTTGCACATTCTGTCCTTCCTCACACAGTCACTCATCTGCTCAGTGCCTAAGCTTCCAACTCAGTGTGGTCGCCACTCATTCGCTGCCCTTGCTGGCCTTACTAGGTGCTGCCTGCCCTTTAGAGGAGAGCAGAGGTTGGGGTGGTTGCCCTGGGCCCCAACCTTCACCCTGTCCACGCTCCCAGGACGGCGCTAGGAGACGCCCAGTCCTGCGACATGAGTAGACACCACGAGGGCCCCCTGGGCTGCACTGAGCTCACTGGTCTGCAGTTGAGGAGTGACCAGGAGGCACCTGGGACCCCCACCTACGAGAGGCGAGTGGTGGGGTGAAGCTGGGTTATTGGTGAGGTCACATTACATTCACCTAATGCCTTCACCTATGGAGGTCTCCGAGGGCTTTGGAGGAGTCAAGCTCCCTTCCAGTTCCCTCTTTCCTAGGAATGGAAAGAAGGCCTCCTTTCCCCATGGATATTTGTGTCAGGGGACCAAGTCTGAAAGATTGAAGCAAACAAACAGAGGAGCTATGGCGGGTAGTGGTCTCCACGTGGACTTAGGCATGCGTGTGGAGTCTCCGATTAGAAGGGAGACCTGACCCGGAGGCAGGCAGGAGGTACAGGAGGCATCTCAGTGGTGCTGGGAGCAAGCACAAGTATGTGCACGAGGGCCCAGGCTCTTTGGAACCAGCCAGATGACCTCCGCCGGGGCGGGCAGCTGTCCTCTCCCTTCTCAGCCTCCACTCTGCCTGCCACCTCCGTGCCTTCTCCCCACCTCACAACAAATCACCATATTCTAGGAATGGCTCTTGCTCCAGAAAGCCCAGCTTGGTGGCTGTGAACTTGTGCTCTGGGCCTGCTGAGGTCAGGGGTGACTCATGCAAATAGCTACCTTTCCTTCCCACCTCAGCCCAGGCATTTTCTTTCTAGGTAAAGCAAGTTCCAAAGAGTCAGTGTCTTGCAGAAGGACTGAGAGACCTGGAGTTACTGACCTGGACCAAGTAGGGGGAGGAACCCACAGTCCAAGATGGGGTCCACTTACCGGTTTGCCATCTAGCCCTATGGGACCCTGAAACCAGAAAGGCGAGACATAAAGACTAAGCATTACAGGCCTCCTGCCAAAGAGGCTCCTGGGGCAGTAGTTAGGAGCCTCTGGGATCCAACAAGTTAGGGTTCAAGTCCCTGCTTGTAACGTGACCATGGGTAAGCCCAAGCCTCAATTTTCCATCTCAACATGGGACTAAGAATAATAGAACTTTCCATGAAGGGTCCTAGTGAGGAGAGAATGAGATGCTGGATGCCAGGTGCCTGGAATAAGGGAGAACTCAGTGGGTGGCATCACTATTAACGTCAAAGAAGTCTTCCTTACCCCAAGTGGAGAGGGAATAATGTATTCCTAGAAACCAGGGGGTGGGCAGCATTGAGACCTGGAGAAAAGGGAACTAGCTGCTCCCCCTTCTCTGCCTCTCAAAACCTGTCCTACGCCCTATAGGCAGGGATCCAAGGATATCCAGAAGGCCACCCCACTGCCTCCTCCATGGTGGACCCCCTCTCAAAGCCAGGTCAGAGACTGAGTTTAGGGTGTGGCTATGTCATGCGGGGGCTGGTCAGCCTGACTTCACTCGAGTGGCTCCTGTCCCACTGCCCCTTTATTTGTATTTATTTCCCTGTGTCTATTTCTCGGACCATGAGCCGAGCTACTCTCCTGGGTTGATGTCCAGGAAAGGCTGCAGAAGTAGGTCCTTCATGACCAGGGCTTGGAAGGGGAAGAGCGGCATCAGGGCTGATTTTGGATGAAGTTTAACCCAACCAGGCTCAGAGACCACCTAGAACACAGCTAACCTCAGCCTTCCTACTTACCGGAAACCCAGGAAAACCTCGAGTGCCTGGTTGACCCTGAAAAGAACAGCAGAACGTGAGGATGAGGAAGGAGGAGATGCAGCTAATCTCTTGATCCTGGGTCCTCCTTGCCCCCAGCCCTCCGACCCTTGAGTGATTGTTGGTGGGGAACACTCACCACAGTGAGCTGGTGGGGAGGAGAAAGATGGGAATGTGGGCCATCATAGGAAATTCCTGCAGGGGCCAGGGGTGGGGAAAGAAACAAGGAGGGGGCCAGATTCCTTTGGGTCTACTTCTAGGAAGCAGCCTCTGGGGAGCTCCTTGCTGCTGCGGGTGCTGGTTTGTAAACAGATGGGACAGCGAGGACAGTAGGGACTCGGTCCACAGCACACCAAACTCCTGGACTGAGGTCCTCTAAGTCCTTTTTATTTATACAATCATTGCTCAAGGCCACTTATCTGAGGAGGGTTTGGAGATCTGCAGATAGCAGAACTTGACCTTTGAAATGTGTTTTCAGGCTAGAAAAGATCAGGTTGCTCACGTTCTTCTCACCGTGGCCAGCAGGCTTCTCCTATCAGTTGGGAAATCTCTGGACCCCTCAAACTTTCTGGGACACAGAGAAATCCATGCCCCCTTTCCTGAAGGGGCAGAGTGTAATGCAGATATACATTCAGGCTGGAGACAAGACGCGGCAGGTTCACTGATCATAGTCCACTGGTTCATGATCAAGATTCAGGAAAAAAGAGACACGCTGGGGTTGGAAGAAGCACGGGGTTGGGGAGGGTGACCAAGAGGTCAAGGGTAATAGCTAAGAAATTTGAGTCTCATTACTCTCCTTCTCAAGAAGCAGCAAGGGCTCCTTTCTACTCATTCAGGCCCTCTTCAATCTTGTCTCAATTAACCATGTCAGCTTCCTTTTCTGCTATATCTTGCCACAAACATGTCTAGCTCTTAGCTTGGGGACTCCCATGGAGTCTTCCGAGCATGAGCTTTTGAGTCTAGGAGACTGACCTCCAATCCGGCCTCCACCAATGGTGGTCGTGTCACTCTCAGCAAGTTGTCTGACCTCCCTGAGCCTCTGTTTTCCTTGTATGTAGAATGAGGACAATGATATAACCTCATAGGATTGTTGAATTGCATTAAATGATGTTTGTAAAGCTGTTGAAACGGTAGCTGCCATTATTGGATGTGTTGAATTGAGCAGAACAGATAAATTCCCGAATAAAGTAAGGTTGCTTTTGAGCCCAATATATCTTGGAATCAGTGGAGGTTTGTCTTTGTCAAGCAGTAGCTCCAGAATCAGATCCTATCCAGAGGAGTATTTCTGCTGTGACCCTAACACATCTTCAGGCTGCTCGGGTCCTCCTTGAAGCCATGGACATGCGAGCCCTGCACCCTGTGTTCAAGGAACATGTCAGTCCGTCTGGCTGGGTGGGGTGGGGGTCCTGCCGTCAGGGTGGGTGCGCTGGCTTGGTAGTGAGCGACTGAAGTCCACTGCAGGCTCGGGATGGGCTCGTGGCAGTCATTCAGAGGGGCAAGCGGGAGGAGATGCTCCTCGTGCATCAGAAGGGCCCCTGGCTTTTCTCCTCTCAAGGATAAGTGATGCTAAGAATAGCACCAAGGAGAAAACCCGGAAACTATGCAATGTAATCTCTGAAACCTCTCCGTGTAAGCTTTCTGTAAACTACTCTGAACACAGAGAGGCCTGAAGAAAAGGTCAGGAGGAGAGGATTCCAAGAAACAACTTCAAGTCCCACTTGGGCCGATGTTTACATGGTAGGGATAATCACACGGTTTGCTAATGACAGAGCCGCTCTGGTCGCAGGATGCATCTCTTCAAGCCAGGGCCAGCTCCAGGGCTAACCGAGGCTTTTTTAGGGATCTTAGGAAGAATGTTGTCACTGACCAAATGGAAACTGGGACTCCACTTCCTGGAGCAGCCGGCCTGGGGACAGCACTTGGGGAGACTTGCAACTGGATTTTAATTTGTATCTCTTCAATTATACCCCGAGGTTAGACTCTCTTCCAGTGTTTATTAATCAGTCTTATTTATTTGTGAACTGCCTGTTTGTATTATTTACCAATGTTTTCTATTAGGCTGTAAAAAAAAAACCCAACTTTTTCCTGCTGATTTGAGTAAAGCTCTTTGTCAAGAACAGTAAGTCTTCGATAGTCATGTAAGTTGCAAACATTTTTTCCAATTTGTCAATTTGATTCTGTCATATAGACGTTTTACATTTATGTAGACAAAAAAAATCTATGGCTTTTGGGTTTTATGCCAGGTCCCCAGTTCAGAATTATAAAACATTCACTCATGCTTTGTCTTATATCTTATGGTTTCAATTTTACATCTAAGTATTTTATTCATTTGGAATTGATTCTCATCTGATGAGTGGGTAGAGATTCAGCTTTTTGTTTGCTTGCTTTAGAAAAATCACTTTCTTTCATTTTATCTTTTTCTAATGGATTATCAGTTGCTCTGCATTGTTTCCAGAACAATCTATCTTTCTCTTCCTATTGTGAAATGAAGTCTTTAACAGGTACCCAATTCCCATAAAGCACTTGGCTTTATTTCTGGGCTCCTGCTCTGTTTTGTTCGTTTGTTTGCTGTAATTGCTTTTATATGCAGCTTAATTGCTTTTGATAGCTGGTAGAACAACTAGTTTCCTTCTCTCCTGTCTTCCTTACTCTATTTCTTTCACAATTTTTCTGATATTCTTAGAATTTTTATTTTTTAAATGAAATTTAATATTATTTTATTGGACTCCTAACCCCATAAAAATGTACGAGGATTAGGATCACATTAAGTTTATAGATAATAGGTTTATTTGTAGATTAATTTATGGATTAATAGCACTTCCTTCTATACAAGAACAAAAGAGATAAGCTTTATATTGATCTCTGAAATCTGCCCCTTAATTCAAGGCCAAGGCAGAAAGGTAGCCAAAGGGATCCCCACTTCTGAAAGTGAACCTCTACGTCTCCTCCTCCCAGTCTTCCTCCTCCCTGCAACATATGCAGACTGGTTGGAAAAAGCCTACCAGATAGTCTCCCTTCCCTCTTATCTGACCCTCCCCAAAGAAGATCAGTCGTGTATCTGCCCAAAACCCGCCTCCTTTTGCCTCCCCTCAACTCCAAGTCAGTACTGACTGACAAGACTCAGTGCTGGTAAATGTTTAGTCATCGGCTGGGTGGGAAAGGGTGGGCGAGGAGAGCCCTGCTTGACAATGTCTGTGGTATAAGTACTCCCACCATTGCCAATTTCAAGCTATGAACGTGAGGTCGCCAAACCCAGTTGGGAGGAGGTGTGCACCATCCACACCTGCAAGTTATCTGAGCCAGCTCCAGGGCACCCGGCGATCTATCTCCAGCAGCCAAGGGACAGCTTCTCTTGGGCATTACTAAGCCATCTCAAATTCACCATTCTCAAATTAAACTCGTCTTTCCTGGTAAAATCTGCTCTTCCTTCTGGGGAGGGTACTCTATTCAAGTCAGAAATGTGGAGTCATCCTGAACTCCTGCTTCTCCCTCAATCCCCATTTTTATCATCTCAAAATCCCATCCACTGCATCCCCAAATCCCTTGACACTGCAGCCCTCCAGCCTAGGCCTCCTGGTTCTGCCCCAGTCTGGCCCCGGGTTATTGCAAGTGCCTTCCAACTAGCTGCCACCCGCAGCCTCTTCTCAATGTGCTCCACGCTAGCACGGGCCAGACCACTCAACCTTTTAAAACTGCAAACCTGATCATGTTTCTCAACAGCCTAACATAACCCAAGAACTCTTAGCACCCTCAGAACAAAGCCCGACACCTGCACATAGTGTATGAGCTCCTCACAGGTCCTTGACAGCAGTTTAGTTATTCCTTCCTCTGGGAAGCCTTCCCTACCTCTCCCCATTCTCTAAGTCCAGTGCCCCACCCCCCACCCTCATGTCCCACAGCTCCTGGACCATTCCCTGCCTTAGCACTCACTGTCTGTGTTGTAAGAAATTATGGGATCGCTGGTCCCTCCCACTAGATAATGAGCCTGAAGGGTTAAGCAGGCTGAGGTCAGGTTTCCACTGTCTACCCAGTTCCCAACATGCACTGGGCTCCTAATAAATACTAACATGAATTGAGTGAATTGAGACACACTCGATAGGTGTGCCCGCCAGGTGTGGGGAGGCTCCTTGGATGAGGGCTGGCAGTTCAGATGGCTCCTGGCTCCTGCAGAGAAGCTGTGGAGCTCAGGGAGGGAGCAGGCCTCCTTTGAGAATGGGGCATTTCCTAGGCATTTGCAGATCACGTGCCCAGGGCTTCCTTGGGTGTCCAGCCTCCCTCGCTTTCATGCAACTACTTCAAAACTCAACCTGCCCAGACACTCTCTGCACCAGCATCTTGCTTCATGGGAATATGAACCCTCCATCTCCAAAGTGCTTGGATGGTTCTCCTTTTGCCTGGACCATTTATCAAGCACCAAGAGGAGAGGCAGATGGCCCCAAAGAGCAGCAAGGCTGGTTCTTATTAGCAGCATTTATTCTGGGCGCTTCTCTGCTGAGTGGAAAGCCACATGTTCCCCATCATTCCCAGCCACCGCCAAAGGCGCCCACTTGACCTCTACCCCTTAATGAATGGACCCTTTGTCTTCTCCCCCGACCCCCCATTCCCTGCTCCCACCAACTCAGGGCAGCTTCCTGGGAGGAGCTGGGGGGTCGCCACTGCGGTATAGTGGAGACTCAGCAGGGGTGGTCTGACCCACAGGGCGATGGGGGCCAAAGTCAGAGGATGCTGGGCTTGCTCAAGACTCCTGGTGCCATAAAACCTTTCCTGGTGCCAACACAGGCACCCACCAGGAAAGCTTTTTTCTCCTGAAGTAAATATGCCTTTAAACAGTAGAGCTTTCAAGCATGGAAAAGGGTATTGGGACAAGAATGCAGGCTGTGGAATGAGGCCGACCTGGCCAAACCCAAGCTCCAGCACCTCCTAACTGGGTGACCACAATTAGGAAACTCTCAGTTCTCTTATCTGTAAAATGGGCTGGTGGGGCCTGGCTCACAGCTATGAGGGAGGATCGGAGAAGATCTAGCGTGTGATAGGTGCCCAGGAGCCAGAAGCCATCACTGTCACCTGAATAGAAGTTCCTTTTCACCACTGGAATCAAATCCAGTGCTGTGGGTATGATTCTGATTGGGCTATGTGTGCTGGGCAGATCCCAGGAGGAGTGGAGACAGACCACTGTCTCAGTACAACTCCAGTAGTGGAGCCTGTTCGACCACTCTTTGGTAGCCTGTGGACATGGCTTCCTGAAAGAGCGTTAGAGGACCAGCATGATCCACACAACAGTTCATCTTCAGTCAGACCAGAAGGCAGACAGAGATGGCGGCCAAGGGTAGGGCCTGTATTCTCTGTTACTCCCCAGTCCTAATAGACCAGGAGTGGTCCTCACTGTTGGAGCCTGGGGAGGTGGGGGGAAGCACTGCCTTCTTGTGTTCTATCCCTCCCACCATCACCTTCATCAGGGACAACTGGGCCCAGGGAACCCATGTTGTACACAGGAAGCCTGAAGCCCATCGGGCCAGCTGTAGTGGGAGGCCAGGGATGCATGTGACAGCGACACCACGCCTGGCCAGCCTATTACAGCAATGGGGGTCAGAGGGAAGACTGTAGCCACATGACCTGGCTGAGTGATCAGCTCCCAGTGTGGCCACACACCAGCCCTATGACTCTGGGCAAGTCACTCAACCTCTCTGTGCCTCGGTTTCCTTATCTGTAAAACGGAGATCTTCATTCCTACTTCACACTGTTCTTGTGAGAATTAAGTGAGTTAATATGTGGAAAAGTGTTCAGATGTGGCCTGCCACAGAGTAAGTGCTAAGTGTCAGTCCTTAGCGTTGTCATTATGGTCAAAGTCCAGAAGAAAGCCTTGCTCGGAAGGCTATGTCCACTCAGCCCAGGACGGTTGAAATGCTGCCTCTGGTCCAGCACCTGGCCTGTCTACCAGCCTGGCTCACCTGTCCCTCTCTTATCTTCCTGCATGAGCTCCACTTCATGCTCCCAACCCTCATCTTGGCCCCTCCCTTGGATGTAACTTAGCAAGGTGTCTTTGACTCTCCTGCTTCCTGCTGGCTCTCTCTGTTGAAGGCAGGAGCATGGGCAGGATGGGCTTCCTCCCTCCATGGGGCTAGCCTCAGTCTCCCTGAGGCTAGCCCTCTACTCCCCGCCCCGTTACTGGGCATGGAGGGCAGGAAAAGTGCAGAACATGAAGCTGGCAGCCTGCTACTGCGGGGAAAGCCAGGGTGCCAGGGCTCCATAATTCTAATCCTGTCTCAGCCTCTACACAGAGGACACTGGCCAAGCCCCTTTCCCTTCTTTGGCATCAACTTCCCCTTCTGAGAGGGCTGTGTTAGCCCATCCCTGGGGTCCTTTCCATGCGGACATGGGTGATTTTGTTGAAGCCCGATAGTATGATACTCAGGGAAAAGCAGCCAGCCCTTCTTCCCACAGCCATGCTATGTTGCGGGCTACATGGCCCATACCCCCCTTCAGTCCTTAAGGAAGCACATCTGAGGGAAGCCTCATTGATCTTCCCAAGCTCCTGGCCACTGGGTGGAGGGTGCTAACTAACATACAAAGGCGCCTGTGAGGGTGCGTGCTGGGCTGGGCCTCTGGCAAGACCAGGAGTGGATGTCTGGGTCCTTGAATTTGGGCTCCGTGTCTACTCCAGGGCTTCCAGAAACCAAGGTTTGTTCCTGCGAAAGCTGGGGTATCCCATCTCCCTTCTACCTGTAAACAGCAAGGCCGCCTCGCAGCTGCTGTTGTTCGTGGCTGGAGGGCAGGCCCTTCAGAACCCTACCAGGAGGCTGTAATTTAGGTATATTTAGTCAAACCACTTTCCTTAACATCAACATCAGCACCCAGGCCTGGTCAGGCTGACCACATCACATGTGGCAGCTGCCACACCCAGAGGTGCATCTGGGCACTCACCCCTCGTCCCCCACAAAAGCCCTTTGCATTGACCCTCCCAACCCCCCACCACACCCTGAAGAAGAGCAAAACAACTTACAGGGGGGCCGCGGGGACCGATGATGGACAGCCCAGCATCTCCAGGGGCCCCCTGTGGGGAGAGAGGGGGGAGACAGAGGGGCACGGAGAAGAGGGGCAGGAAAGAGAACAAAAGGGAAAGGGCTGGCAGGGGGCAGGGGCGGGATGCCAGCCCCACCGCACAGAAGGGCGAGAAGGAGGTCAGAGGATACAGAGGACCGTAGAATGACAGCAGAGGAAGCACAGAGGGGCACAGATGGCACGTTCAGGAAGAGTTGAGAAGGGAGCGAGAAGAGGTGTGAGCGGAAGTACAGGATGTGGAGTCCAGGGAAAGGAGGACGGTGGGACCCCAGGCCGGGAAATAAGGAGAATGGGATCCATTGGAGAGGTGGGAAAGAGAGAAACAGGGAGGGAGGGGAGACTTGGCGAGGTTGCCCAGGCCCGAGTCTCACCCCCAAGCCCTGCTCAGGGCACGTTCCAACCCACCTCAGCACACAGGTGTCAAAGCTCCCCAGGCCTCCCCAACCCAATCCCCAAATGCCAATCTGGCCACGCACTTCACAGTGGCTCTGAGCGTGGGGACACAAGACACACACTTGCTATGTGGGCCCAGAGGTCCTGAGCCTGAAAGGTTGAGCTGCCCCAAATTTCCTAGTCCTGGTTTGAGAATGACATAGAGGGGTTAAGGCTGGAGTGGAATATTCAGCTTCCGAGAAGATGGTGGGTGTTGCCGGGTGAGGAGCTCAAAGCACCATGAAGGGTGGCTGAGCTAGTTAGATAAGGACCCTGTGTGTGTGTATCAGGGGGTCAGCAGGAGGGTGAAGGAAGGTGAGGGAGAGAAGTGGCACTCTGGCAGAAAGGCAGGCTACCCTGTCCCACCAGCCTTCTGCCCCTCCTAGCAGAGATAGGCAGGGCAGTGAAAAAGCCCAGGGACCTGAGTTCAAGGTCTTAATCTGCCGGGCACATCACGGAACCTGTCTGAGCACACACGCTTCCTCTGTGAACAGGGATACCCAGAGCTTCTCTGCTGCCCTGATGGGAAATGCATTTTGTAAAATGTCATACCTCACAGGCAGGTGATTTAAAATTAGTAATTATTTGTCATTGTGATGATAAATAATTTTTACACAAGGCAGGATAGTGTAATGATTAAGAGCCAGAATGCTTGGGTTTGAAGCCCAGCTCTGTTCCCTATAGCTGTGTGACCTTGAGCAAGCCACTTAACTTCCTGTGCCTGTTTCCTCATCTGTCCCACAGGGATAATAGCATCTGTCTCACAGGGTGAATGTGAACATTTCAAAAGATAACGTAAAGGGCATAAAATAATATCTGACCCCTGGAAGTAATCATGAGTCTCTCTCTTGGGCAGTTGAGCTGGGGCCAGGGTCTGGGGGACACGACTGACAGTCTTATTCCATTTGGAGGACAGTACAGCAAGGTGGTTAGGAGCCCCAGATGGAAGCTGAGTCACACCTGACTTCCATCCAGCTCTGCGGCTTTCTAACTGTGTGGCCTGGAGCATGTAACTTTGCCTCTCTGTGCCTCATGTAAATGGGAATATTCAAGCTTCCCTGAAAAGGTTGTGTCAGAGTTAATTGGCAAAATAGAGGCAAAATACTTAAAACTGCTCCTGACACAGTTTGCATTTAATATGTGATAGAGGCAATTATTATTGTTGCCATTGTTGTTACTTTGGAGACAGGAGGCTATATTGCAGAAATACTGCAATGTTCAGGCAAGGAAGTATCGAGTTGGCCGCCAGGAGGACTAGCCCCTGCTCGCCACTATTGCTATGGGACCTGGGGCCAGTCCCAGCCCTTCTCTGGGCATCAGTTTCCTCATCTGTAAAACGAGCTGGTTCGATATGTTGAGCTCTGAAATCTCTCAAGTTGACCCAGGGTTGATGTTCCAGGATGGCTTCCTGGGCTTCTGTCTTCTCAAGGGATTCTACTCCATAATCCTGGGGGTCCCCTAGGGCTTTGCCAGTTACATGAAACAGCAATGGGGTCCTCTCCTTGCCTTGGGGAAGGGGGATGCCTAGATGGGAACAGAGCCATGCGGCCACATACAGTCACAGCAGGGCAGGGGAGAAAATCCAGGACTATCGCCCAGGAATCCCAGCTCTTAGGAAACTGGGCTGGAGAGGCTTTGAGGGCAGCACAGGCCTTGCCAGCACCCTCTGCTGGGGCCTCTGTGGATGAGGAGTGCTGAGAGGTCCCCTCAAGAGTCTACTGTGGAAGAGGAGACTGGGTGCAGGGCAGAAGGGGAAAGTGTGGACTCACCTTCTCGCCTGGTTGGCCCTTTACTCCCTGGGCCGCCACATGCAACACAGGGTGCAGGGAAGAAAGAGGGAGGGAGAGAAAAAAGAAAGGATGAGAGAGAGGTACCAACACAAGAACCCGTGTTCGTGGCACAAGGACCAAACACAAGAAATCACCGTGAAATAAGAAACAGAACAAAACACAGATGCTGACACATGACAGGTCCCAAGTCCAACAAGCCCAGTGTGTGGAATGCTATTGTTTCACTCCATGCAGCCCACCATTCCAGATAGCTGAGAGAGAGACAGTGGCTGGGGCTGCAAGAAGCTCTCTTGAAGCAGGTCTGTGAGACAGAGAGAGAGAGAGAGAGAGAGAGAGAGAGAGAGAGAGAGAGAAGAGCACGTGCACATAAGAGAGAGAGAGAGAGAGAGACAGGGAGAGGAAGAAAGACAGAGAGACAGAGAAACAGAGAGAGAGAAGGAGAGAGAGACAGACAGACACAGAGAGACAGAGAGAGAGAGAGAGACAGAGAGGCTGAGAAAACAAACAAGACCCCACCCAAGTCAGGAAATCTGTCCCAGAAGTCATGGCTCTAGCTGGCCAGGGCAGTCTGAGGTGGGGGTGGGGGTGGGGGTGGGGAAGAATTCCCTAGGACTGGGAGGTGATGGTGGTGTCTAGGAGGCTTGCAGGTCCAGCTGAGCACAAAGAGCAAAGCCTTGCTGAGCTCGACAAGTCTGCAGTCTTTAGAGCTGGCCAGGTAAGGCAGAGGGAGGGGCATAGAGAAACGTGGGAAGACAGAGGCTGGAGGGATGGAGCATGGGTCAGCCATGCAGAGGAAGCTGGGTAGGCAGCCAAGGGTCCCTTGTAACCATAGTGACCAGTGGATGGACAGTCCCGATCCATCCCACTCTGGACAGAATAGAGGTGCCACCTCTGCTGAACCACAGGGATGACCCTGGAATCTCACCCACTGGCCACCCTAGTCCTTATCAGGTGGCTCCTGCCAGACTCCCTCCAGGGCAGCCAAATGGGCCCATTGTCACATTTAGAATAGCATCAGCAGGGTGAAAGTCCCAAGGTAGCTTGAAAATAGTCTTGCCTAGAAGGAGGTGGGGAGACCTCCTGCCACTCCCCTTCCTCTTCCCTGCTGCAGTGATGGACACTTCCTGGGGGGAGATGCCCACGGGGGCCCAAGAAGGAGGGCAGGAAAGGGGAGGCCACTTTGCCTTCTGTGGGCTTCCTTGCAGGCCAGCCCTACCCACTGCAACTCTGGGCAGGGGCTCCTGGAGCTCGCCTATCAGGAACAAGGACTTTGGGGTCCCAGACAGCTTGGGTACAGAATCCAATTCCACCCCCATCTTGGGTACATTGAGTCTAACATCCTCATCCATAAAACAGTTCTCAGAGAGCTCTGGAGGAGATGGCCCAGCTCAGGCCCACACACAGTAAGCCCTGGGGAAGGGATGGCTTAATTACTCTGCTGGGGTGAACTCGGGGTCTGGAATTAGAGAACCAAAGCAAAGCAACAGGGCCAGACAGAAATCCCACAGTGCTCCAGTCTGGGAATATAGTGAGAGGGCTTCATGTGGGGCTCCCAGGAGCCTTCATGCCTTAACAGGCAGAACTTGAGGCCCTGGGAAGCTAAAGCTCTGTGACATGGGACACTCATCCTTAGCTCTGAAATGTCCCAGGCCTCTGGGGCGTCATCCTAAGGATCAGACCCTTCTCAGAGCTGGAATGCCAATGGGAGTGGGTAGGAGAGAGTGGCGAGTAACCTTGCCAGGGTCAAGAACACAAGCTTAGAGTCTGGCTGTCTGGGTTAAAGCCCCCGCTCAGACACTTCCTGGCCATGTGGCCTTGGGAAAGACATCTAACTTCTAAGCCTCAGTTTTCTCATCTGAAAAATGGGAGTGGGAACCGTGTCTACCTCATGCAGTTCTTACAAGGATTGAATGAGCTCATCTCTGTGAGACTGTTAGCACAATGCCCAGCGCACAGTCAGCACTCACAAGTGTTAGTTGGGATGTGGATGCCTTTCAACCTCACTCCAGGCATGCAAATTTACACAAGGATGCCACACCCACACCTAAGATCGACCCCAGCCTGGGAGGTGAAATTCTGAGGCAAAGCCAGAAGTGACATGTAAGAGGGCCTTAGGAACCAGGGTGGAGGCAGGGGCTGATGGCCGGTGGGAAGTTAAGAGTCAGACAGAGAGAGTAGTTCAGGTCACATCCTAGACAAAGCTGGGTAGTGGTGAGGCCAGAGCGTGGTCATTGCTGCCTTAGGCTGCAGCCTTTCTAGCCCTTAAGAGAACACCATCCTAAAGCTACCCAAAGCCATCATCCCAAAGCTGGGGACTCAGGGCTTGCTGCTGACAGTCCCATTTCTGGGAAACAGTCTCCCCATCAAATATTCTCATCTCCCTTGCTCCATCTTCATTTTCCAGCGGGAAACTGGAAGGGTTTAAACTCTCAGCCTCCGCATGAGTATGTGAAGCCCCCACCTAGAATCAAGCCCCATCTTCATCATCTTTTAGCACATCTCTGTCTACAGAAGACATCTCCGGAAACTCTGGCTCCATTGAGGGGTGGCTGGAGGAGCAGCTATAATCTGAGGGAGAACTGCCAACTTTGGGGGTATGGAGTAGGAATCTTCCCAGTTTTGAGGCTCAGGTATGTGATTAGCAAAGAGCTTTGTTCATGCAACTTTCTTGGATTTTTCCCTTGCCGTGGCAGCTCTTTGGAGAACAAAGCCACACTGTGAGGTCTGAATGACTGGGATAAAGCTGCTTCCCTGTCTCTTCCTGAAGCAAACTAGCACCTCGGAAGGAAGAGTGCTAACCGCTCCTTGGGGTAGGGGTAGACCGCACCTTGCTATGGCTTAGAGGACAGGCCAGCGTGGAGAAGCAAGCAATGGCCACCCAAGAGGTGCAAACGGACCAACTCACCACACGTCCAGGCATCCCAATGGCACCTTTGTCCCCCTGGCAATGAAGGAGGCAGAAACAATCAGATATGGCTGGAACCAGGCCAGTGTATGAAGGACCCCATGGACTAGCTGTGCCCCAAATCAGCTTGTCTGTCACTGGGATGATATCCCATGTGATGCCGAAGAGTCATGTGGATACACTTCCCATGTGGCCCCCAAGGACAGTTCAGTGGGTGGCCACCTCTATGGCTATCTGCACTCAGGCATGGTCTTGTGGAAAGAGCACTAAAGTAGGAGTCTGGTTCTCAGCCTGGGCCTCAGTTTCTCTATGTGTTTCCAAGGGCCTTGATCCCTTAGACTTCTGCAGTTGGAATCTATTCCAGCAATGACCAGGATATGCCTCATCTTCCTTGCGCTCAACTCCAAGGCGCAGAGCAGGGTGACTGGCAGCTCCCGTGACAGACGGGTGAATCACTTCCCTGAGTCTGTCCCTGCCAGAGCTGACAGGCAGTGGTCCTCCTCCCATCCCTTGTTCAAGAGAGCTACAGAGGAGTCTTTCTCCACTCCTCCCTCCTCCAGCACTGACAGGAAGGACCGGGAGCCATGTGGATTCAGCCGCATCACGAGTTTCAGCTGCTCTGAGGACATTGCTTTGTTTTGTAGCCAGGGGTTACATCTTCTCACTCTGGAAATCTGCTTATTAAGTTTTGTTCCTCCCTCTTTTGGTAGAAAATATTTTTTTGTAATCATACGCATGCAGACATCATAAAATCTGGGGTGGGGCTTGGGGTTTGCTGGGAGCCTGGAAGGATGGAAAACAATGGGGTATGGAAAATAAGATGGCGTTTGTCCGGCCTGCTGGGCAGGAGAAAACTGGGTGAGCATTTCTGGGGTGTCTCTGCATCTGCTGACCTCACTGAGGCAAAATGCCTTGAGGCGCAATTAGTATCCCAAGATGTGTGTGGGATACACCCAAAAATAGCAGTCAGCTCGGAAATTAGGCTCTTGTTACACATACATGGCCAAGACCCATGGTGACTTTGAGTAAAACATTCTACTCTTGCTGAAGAATGGCAGGATAGCAGTGTTCATTATCAGCGCTGACTGTTTCCTGAGGATCCGCTTCTGTTGCATGAATGAAATAAGAGTTTCTCTCTCATGGGCTACTGGGAGGATCTAGGCTGGTGCCTGGCACTTGGTAAGTGCTGGGTCATTGGCATCTGCTAGCTTAAGCCCAGCACAGTCTCGGGCAAGTTACACGCAAGTTTCTACTTCACAACTTTTGCATTGGAAGATAGAGACCGGCATCTCAAATCTTTTCCCAGGTGCCTTCATGCGGAAGCATGAACAGGACCATGACCCACAGATCCAAGTCCCTGCCCTGCCTGCTAAGAATCCCTGGCTGGTGCTGGTTGTTGGCTGTGGCAGCCCATGGTCCACTCACTCTTGGGCTTTTGAATGATATTTCAGGCTGTGTGTTTTGGTTTCTTTTTCATTTCTTTTTTAGAACTAATGCTCTTTGCAGTCCTGGCCATAAAATGCTCGGGTTAGGGGCAGGCATGGAATGGCCAGAGACTGGAAACTATGTACAGCGGCCCCTGCTCTGTGAATTGCCCCCTAAATGCTTTTTAAAGGTGGACGACGTAAGAAAAAACAAAGTCTGCCCACGTTCCCTCGGTCATCTGATTTTTCCTCTCCTTGGATTTCATGGGACCGACTCACCGGTCCTCCTTTGCTCTGGGGCTCTCACTTACTGGGAGAGTTTTCATTTCCAAGCCTGAACATTCTCCCACATGCATTTCATTAAGAAAGTCACCGCTGGACATGGATTCTAGAAGCTGCTGGATTAGTCAAAGGTATAGTATAATTCATGTCTACAAAGGGAGTAACTAGAGAAGAGGGATGCACAGAGGGTCGAGAATCCCATGGATGTGGCCTTCGGGGCAGGGGGACAGGGCAGACTGGTGCCAGACTCACCTTGGCCCGCTGGCTGGTAGCAGCATCCCGCCTGGGGCACTCCACATCTGAGGGCCCACGGTATATATATTCAGTTCTCCACTCATCCATGTCCCAGGCTAGACTCCACGGAACAATGTCTTACAAGACTCTAAATGTCGGGCATGGACCACATGAAGCAGCAGTATGGAATGGTATATGGTGACATGTGTCTCCAGCAGGCCTACCCCTGAGGCTTGGACAGCTGGACAAGGCATTTTACCTCCCTGAGTCTCAGTGTCCTCATCTATAAAACAGGTGCAATCATGCCCAGTTCACTGAGTTGTTGAACAAACCAGATGTATGAAGGATAATTAGCATAGGGTCTGGCACCTATCAAGATTTCAATAAGACATGACTATTAGTATTATTTCTACTTCTGTCTCAAAGTCCCCACAGTTACGTGGCCCAGCTTCTCTAGAATTCAAAATAGTAACTGGGGGGAAAACAAAGTTTTTGAGTTCATACTTTTACCAGAGGGCATAGGAGAAAGGGGGACAGCGGTTTGAATGTTAGCTGGTACGCAGGAGGGTATTCGACACACCAGTGAGCTGTCAGCATAACAGGACCATCAGTCTAGAAGTCAGTCCTGGCATTAGGAGGTTCTGCATGTTATGATTCACCTGCCTGGGGTCCCAGAAGGGGCACCGAGAGCTGATGGGCCAGGCTCAAGATGCTCCAGCAGGGTCCTCTCCAGGTCTCAAAGGAAGAGGGGATTAAGGGTGACTTCCCCCTAAGCTACAGGTCAGAAACTTTAAAGAGAGGCCTCTCACCCAGATAAATGTGGAGGAAGACCAGCCACCTAACCAAGCCAGTCCTCAGGCAGAAAAGAGCACGTGAAAGAGATTCAAAGGAGAGAAGAAATGAAAGTTACTTACTGGGAGTCCAGGTCTTCCAGTGGGGCCCTGAAATAAAGGGATGAAAAGAGTGATATTCACACAGGTCAAGGATTGTAACGCCCAGCTGTTCAACACTGCCTCAACCAGCTGTATGACCTTGGTTAAGCCATTTGGGCCAGCTTCTGTTATTTAATGAACAAAATGAAGGGAAAGTTTTGATCACTAAGCTTTCTTCTAGTTCTAGCCAGCCTGTCTACCTGCCTTCCTCCCTCCCAAAACCAGTTAGCAAGGGGGTAGGTTCCTCCATGCCAGGCCCTGGGGTAGAGTTAATTTTGGAAGCTGGATAACAGAAATTGAGATCTGATATCCCAAACACGCCATGATAAAACAGGGAACAGAAAGAATGGCCCCTCTCAAGACTCAAGGATCATAGGCCTGAGGGTCTCACCACTGTGTTCCTCTCTCTGAGTCTTTCTGCCCATACTCATGTGTGCCAACCGTGGCCTAAGAAAGGGCTAGAGGGTGTCAGGGCTTGGTTTTCCCTGCTCTACCACACAGGAGAAGTCAGATACAGGGCAGAGCCTGGCACCCACTGGAGCCTTCCTGTAGATCTGCCACATGTGAGGCAATGGCACAAAACCACGGAGCAGGAGTGGGGTGTCCCCAAGGGACGTCTGCCTCCCCATTGGGATCATGAGGGAGGCAGTGGGTTAGCTGGTACGCAGGAGGGTATTCGGCATACCTGTGTCAGACCACCCTCTCCATGATGGGTTCGTGCTACGCATGAGGTGGAGGCTGGATCCTATTATACATGGAGGCCTTCTGTGATTCAAGGAACCTGTTATCACTGGCCATAGTCATGTCTTTCTTAAACCTTTTATTCATAACCCAAGTACTCCTGCCTTGCCACAATTCTGGGCACAGACTAAAGGTTCCTTATAATGAATCTGAAATCCCATTGAAAAGAGGAAACCATTAAACAAAATGTGCTGTTAATTCTGCTGATTATCAGCATAGAGATATGCATAGGAGGCAGCTCAAAATCAGGCAAACCCCAAGAAAGTCAAATCTCTTTAGCTGGGGAACTAATCTTTCAGATAGACCTGATAGACGAAAGTGACTGAGAAGCCTTGCCAACTGTTCCACAGGGCATCATGGCACCTTGCAAAGAGGGAGGGGGTTCCTGGGGAGAGCTCCAGGAGAAAAGCCCCAACACTGGCATGACTGGGGTGTGTAGGGTCTGGGGAGGGTGAAGCTGTCTTGGTAAGGGAAACAGTACCATCCAGGCTAACAGCATGGTCTCTGCAGGCAGCCTACCTGTGCTCAAATCTTGACTCTGCCACTTACTACTTGGTGACCTTAAGCAAATTGCTTGGTCTCCTTGTACCTCAGTTTCCTCATCTTGAAAATGGGAGAACAATCACTACCTATCTCTAAGGATTAATAGCACAGGGGCTGGCATAGAGCAAGTGCCAAATCAATGCAGCTATTACAATTATAATTAGAAGAGGGCTTGTAGGGAAAGTGCATGGGGCTGACCTCAGTTTCTCCCTCCAGAGATCCTGCTCCCACCTATGGATTCTCTCCTTCCAGGCATTCGGCTCCTCCCATAAACTGAAGGCAGAACTAGGAGTAAGTCGCCCCTCCCAACCCTTGTTTCTCAGGACATCCTCTTGGCAATGATACCATGATTCCCCCCAGTCAGGGAGTTCTCGGGGGATGCTGAGAAAAGGCCTTCATGAGGACAGGACTTATTCCCATCCTTGTCCTCTGCTTGGTTTTGTCCCATAGCACTAAACTGTGAGCTCCAGAGGTAGAGATCTCACGAATGTGTCCCCAGTGCATCAGCGGTGCTAAGCTCTTAGCAGTCTTCAATGTATCTTTGTGAGTGAATGAACTTGCAGGCAGATACCATGAACCTGGTAATCCAGCTTTTCCAGGCCCCACAGCAGCAGTCCAGGCCACTGCATGTCCCTCCTCACACCAGAGCATTAGCCCTGAACCCATACTCTCTTTCTTTCACTTCTAAACTGCCTGGCTGCCACAGAGTAGGCCAAGAAGTGGGGTGGCGACCTCCCTCCTCGTCCCAGGGAAGGGAATGGGCTAGCGTGAGGAGTTTCCAGCCTCACACAGTGGGTCAACCCTGAAGAGGAACAGAAGGGACAGCTTCCTTCCTGTTCCTCTGCACTCACAACCTACATCATGCACATGGTAACACCTTGCAAGGACACACAGGAGGAACCTATTTCAGGCCCCATGACCAGGAGAAGCTGTGCTTCACCCAAACATCAGTGCGTTTCCACCTCGCTGCAACCTGACACTTGCAAAAACTATTGCTTTCCTCTTTGCAATGACCACCAGGAAACTCAAAGCCAAGTCTGTAGCTTGTCTGCACTGGAGGTTGTGGCATCACCAGCTCGGGTTCTCCTGGTTTTCCTGCCTTTGTTCTCCAAACTTTACCTCCTACTGCTTTATGTGGTTTGTAAATCCCCCCAAACTATTTCTTGAAATGAGGTAGGGTAGAAATAAATGGAACAATAAATTCATTAAAAAAATTTACAGAATAATAATTTCCTTCTTAAAGTTAAAGATTTATAAGAAATTTGGGGGATCATCTAGGGAAGCCCTCTGTCTCTGGGACTAAATGAATTAATATATCCTAAGTGAAAAAAAATTTTAAAAATATATCCTAAGTGGAAAAAATATATATAGTCCATATTTATACAGGTATGCGTATGTGTGTGCGTGTGTGTGTGTGTGTGTGTATACATATATTCCTCACAACACCCAGATGAGACATATACTGTTACTTTTCTCATTTTACAGATGATGAAACTGAGGCACAGGGAGGTTAAGTAACTTGCCAAGATCACACAGCTGGAAGTGGTAGTGCCAGGGTTTGCATGCAGTTAGTTGGTCTGGCTCCAGAACCTGTGCTCATAATTGCTATATTACATGGCCAACATGACAGTGCTTAACACACTGTAAGTGTTAGCTAGTATTTCAGTAAGGATCATATTTGATCAGGCTTGGCAGCTGCCGTCAAATATTTTTCTATATTCCTTCAGAGAAAGAGACATCTCTACTTCCCTTGGTCATCTGTTTTCAGTCTCACAGTTTCCAGTATTAAGAAATTCTCGCTTAAATCTAACCCAGGAATGGCCAATAGATGTCAGCTTGAGTACCAATACCAAGAGACTGGGAATGACTGAAAAATGGATTATGCTAAAAAGCCTCCTAATTGATTAGCCATGTCTGCCATAGGCAGGAGGGGTGGGGCAGTGGTGGTCACAAATTTGCTTCCACTTAAATGGTTCCTACTGCAGCTTCAATCCATCCTCCACTTTCTGGTTGTGTTCTCCAGGCACTGGTTGACTTGTGCCCACAGGAATCTGTATCTTCTGGTTGGAGGACAAAGCCAGCCTCTGAGATACACCCAGAGAACAGCAGACTGGCACCTGGTTAGCCCTCTCCTCTGGCCACCAGCATTCTTCTTTTGCAGGAAGCAGAGAACAGGGCTGAGGAATAAACCCTGCCCTGGCCAACTTTTTATTTCCTCTTCCTCCTGCCTTGCAGTTTCAGCATTGAGCCAAGATTCAGGGTTCCTCTTCCATATTGGGCACAGATGTGGGGAAGCTACCTGGGTCCCTCCCCCTCCCTCCGTGGGCAGGGACTGTGAGCAGAGACTCATGTCCTCCCTTCTCATGTGCTCCTTTACTGCAGACCCCAGGAGTGGCAGGACCCACTCTGGTTGTTAAATCCCCAGGTCACGGCGGCACAAGCTCACAGAACACTCAATGCCTGTTTAGAGAAGGACCTACAAACCAGGTAGAGACTCAGAACCCACATGGCAGGGTCTGGGCAGCCTGCCCCAGCATCCTGGCCCTAGGGATGCGGTATATGCAGGAGGACCCAGGAGTGGGGAGATGAGGATGCTTGTGGCTCCCTCAGAATAAGCCAGAGGGGATAAGCAACCCATTCCCAGCAGGTGTAAGCTCCCTAGGGCAGAGTTTATTTTGGAAACTGGATGACAGGAATTGAGATCTGATATCCCAAATACACCATGATAAATCATCCCTCTTTTCAAGGAATGACATGGCTTTCCTCTCTCACTGGGACAGATCACTCAAGGGGCCTGGCAGGAGCCTTCGCATTGGTTCAAGGTCTTTCAGGGCACAGAGGGAATATTAAATAATGGTCTTATTAAAAACTGGGCAGGGTGCTCTCACAGGTACAGATCAAGAGGAAAACAACTATGGGAATGACTCCTCCAAGAAAAGGACGACGATGGGGTTGATTTCAGCAACCTTGAGAAAGATCTGATGCAGAGGGCTAGGCCCTTTCAACTCCAATCCCAGCTCCCCAGCGCCCTGTGGGTCTTTTGTTGGGATATCAAATGCTGGCCCTCAAAGAACGGTGCTCCTGTTCTCTGGCTCCATTACTTCAGGGAGACAGTCTCCTTGGGCTCTTCTCAGGTTCTTTGGAAATGGCTCCGCTCCCCGCCCCACCCTGGGCTTCACAGCAATGCTGGGGAAAGAGTGTGGCATGCTGCCTATAATTTATGTGCTGTCTCCTAGTGTGACTGGCTGACATCTCTCTCTCTTATGTCACCACAACCACCACCACCTGCCCAAAGTGACTTGGCCAGAATGGAGCTGCCCACACAGGGGCGTGGACACTGAGTCCTCGGGAGCAGACCACACTGGGAGGCAGCTGCCTGACCTGTTTTCTGAATTGGAGGAGACTTCAAGGAGCAGAACTGAGGACAGATGATCTTTCTTCTTTCTAATACTTGGTGCTTCTTTAGGGGACAAAGGGGCTGGGCTGATAGCCTTTCAGATTTAAATTCGGGTCTGCTTTGTCCCAGAGGGCAGTCCTTATCTAGCCCTGGAGCAGTGGATAGGCAGGTGGAAAGCAAGATGGCGGCCTCCTTCCCCACGTCAGCATTCTGGAGGAACTCCCCAGAAGGAATCTGCATAGGGAGCCCCCCCAAGACAGTAAGGGGCCAGCTGTCAGTGTCCCCACCCGGGACCCTGTTACCAGCAGGTGACACAGGCCTTTCAGACGCATGAGACTGAGCAGCAGCTTGAGTACTTACAGGAGGTCCTGAAAGAGAGAGAAAATGCCTGGGTCAGTGTCATGGCTGTAAGGGACATGGGGAGGTCGCTTTAGAAGTAGCGTCCAAGAATTCTTCCATGGAGGGGTTTCCATCTGGTCTTCGAAGTGTGTATTTTCTTGGCTCACTTTCACCAATATAACTTCTCCCCCTTTATTTCATCTCCATATTTTCATTATTGGATGAGAAATCCAGAGGTCTGGGCCCCAGGTTCAGCCCTGATAGGGGACTGTCAGTGTGTGTGTGGTGGGGGGTGGTCCCCCTGCCTCAGCGTCCCACCCCACAAAATGGCTCTTCAGGACCTACCCAAACTCATGTACAAGGTTGCTTTACAGATCACAGGACAGCGGGCACCGAAGAACACCGGGAAATGTCAAAAGAACAGGCCCTAAAGAGATTACGATTGCTAGCATGCTGGCTGTCCTGGCCAAGCTTCCCGTGAGACGCAGGGAGAGCCCACAGGCAGGGGCAGGGGCGGACATGGCTTCTCACTGCCCTGCCTCGGGTCCTCCAGCCTGTCCTGGTTTCTGTTAAGTCCCCCTGGGCCTGCCACCCACGGCCTCACCCGCCCCGGGGGCTCCGGGCTCACCCCCCCATGCCTCTCTTTTCCCTTCTCCTCCAGGTTGTGTCCACTCTCCCTCCTCCCTCCCATGGCCTCAGCAGCAGCCCTATCTCATTACTGGCAACAGCCAAGAATTACAAATTCAAGTGTTCTGAGAGAGCAAGCAAAAGGGAGTGAGGGGTGGGAGGACTCGGGGGGTGGAAAGGGGGGCGGAGAAGTGGAGAAAAGGAGCCCCAGAACGATTGTGAACGAAAGGCACTTCTGCAGAACATGAGCCACGAAACCCCCACGGCCCCAGCCGGGCGGATTCCCAGCTGGGCCTGGTGCGTCTGCCCAGCCCCGAGTGCCCCGGCCACGTGAACTCAGCTGCGACTCCTGTTGCTCCTTTTATGCTGGGCCAATAAAGGCTCCTATGTTTCCCCTTGCTCCTCTCATTCCCAGAGGCAGCTTCCTTCTCTCCTCCTTCATCTGCCCGTTTCCTTGCTCTGGTCCCCATCCAGGAGGAAACAGCCTCTTTCATGCTGGCCTCTGTCAAGCCATCACGTTAAGGGGGAACAAAATGTTTTAAATTAAGAACAACACAAAAAAGTCAAGAGGTGCAGTGCCTGAGTGAGCAAGCCCCAGGCCGGCGGCAGGCTTCATACAGGTTCCAGAGCCAGTGAGGGAGTGTGGGAGGGGAAGAGGAGCATCTGGGACCTATTAGGCTTAGGGGCAGGGGAATGTCACCCAGAATCTGAAAATATCCCCTGAGTGCAGCCTGCCAGAGTGGCCAGCCCAGCTGGGAAGTCCATGCCTCCTGGCTAGGGGGAAGTGTCCTCTGCGAGAGAAGCAGGCTGGTGACAGAGTCCAGCCTGCGGCAATTTTTGGATGGTTCAGACACATGGAGAACAGATGCCCTGAGCCTCCGGGCCTGCTGGGGCTCGGGCTCCCATTGCAGCAGGCTCTGGGAAGTCCTCGATGACACAGACCAGACCTCCGGTGGTGGTCCTGCCTGTTGTTAGAAGTCTCAGCTATATAGGTGTCACCAGACGTAGCTGGGTAGCTGGCATGCACCCAGCACTCAGCCAGGTCCCAGGAGAGCAGTTTGCTGTGTCCATCCCAAGTGACATAAATTCTACTGAAGATTTTGAGGGTGATCACTACTGTCACCATCGTCACCACATATACCTCCATGGTCCTGACTAGATTATCTTGTGAAACTGAGGCATTGAAGGTTGAATGACTCCCCAGGGCCAAGCAGCTAGTAACTGGTAGAGCTCCTGACCTGTTTCTGCAATGCTTCTCTTTCTGTCTCTCATTCAGGAAGCAACCCATCCCACCCACAAACTGACTGCAGACCATGTCCTCTCCACCCCCAGAGGATGCCCCTCATGGTCAGCCTCTGCCCCCCCCCCCAGACTCAATTCTCTCATCTCTCTTTTATGGGACTCTTTGTCTTGCGCAAGGGACTTTGGCTCTGCCAAGCTCCCTCCTACTCCCCACACCTGTCATTTACAGGAACAGGAAAAGCCCCTATTTGTTAGCTGATTCTCTGCTGTGGGAAGGGAAAGAGAGACAGGGGAGTTATATATTTTTAAAAGGCTTTTTCTGTCACACAAGTTTTCCCCCTGTCAATGATGGTCCTCACAGGTCCCCAAGAAGCTTTGGGACCCTAGGAAAATGCAACCACTGTCCTGCCAACTTCCATGAGACAAACAGGCCTACAGTGGGAGATTCCAGATTTCAAAGCAGATGTTTTTCCTGATGCTGTGGTGCACTCTTGGCGGCTCTCAAGTAGCCAGAGAGTTCACAGTTTTGCAAAATCTAGCAGTGTCTGGATGCCACTGGGTGAGCACCCACATGGCCATGCCCATCTCCCAGGTCAGGCACCAAAGGATAGGGTCACCCCAAGGCATCATCAAGTCTACGTGATAAAGATGGGAAAAGGGAAGCCCAGGGAATGTCATGACCATCCAGGACCACATTGTGGGTATGGGGTAGGTGATGGGGGTGGGACCAGAACCTAGTCTCCTGACTTCTCTTCCAGAAGTCTTCCTAACAAACACACCGTATCTCACGACCCATGCAGTTGACCCTGCCTGGGTGCAGTCTACACTACTACATCTTAAGAAAGAAGGCAAATCCCTGAACAGCACCCATACACCTGCTGCTGGCTTCAGAGGGCCACCTTTTCCTCCTCTTGAGGAGAATGATGAAGATTGTCTTAGCCACCTTCAGAGGGCTGAGCAGCCTGCAGTAGGGATGTCAGGGAAGGGTCCAAAGCAGCCATCTAGGGTGGGAACATTCTACCTGAGACCTTCCCCTGATGCCTGTCACCTACTGCCTCAACTTCCTGCTGAGGTGGCTACTATTTTCCCCCAGGGTTCAGCCCACCTCTTCCGAGCAAGGCAGCCATGTTCCCCCAACATACACATGCAGGAATGGACCCCTGTGAAGACTCCCAGGGTACTGCTCTGTGTCATGCCTTTCTTTCAACCACTTTTTGTCTGTTCATTTGTTCATTCACTCATTCATTCAGCAGACATGTAACGAGCACCCAAGGTGTGTCAGTCACCGTGCTGTGCTATGGCTGTCTAAAGATGAATAGGGCACAGTCATTGCCCTTTGAGGAAAGCATTTTTTAAATTTTATTTTAAAATTTTTTTGGAGGGGCGTGGTCTTGCTTTGTCACCCAGCCTAGAGTGCAGTGGCGTGATCTTAGCTCACCACAGTCTGGAACTCCTGGACTCAAACAATCTTCCTGCCTCAGACTCCCAAGTAACTGCGACTACAGACCTGTGCCACCATGCCCAGCTAATTTTTTTAATTAATTAAATTTTTTTGAGAGATGGGGGAGTAGTTTCCCTATGTTGCCTTGGATAGTCTTGAACTCCTGGGCTCAAGAGAGCTTCCCACCTTAGCCTCCTCCCAAAGCACTGGGATTATAGGCATGAGCCACCATACCCTGCTGGAAAACTTCATTTTGTAAAGTACTTATTATCTACCAGACTCAATGCTAAGCTCTGATAATATAGAGATGAATAACTTATTTCCTCCCGCTGAGAAGTCTGTATTTCCTATGTTAGAAGCTGGAAAAATTCCAGAGACAAGAACTAAAACATACCTGAGAACTTAAGGGAAAAAGGTTGCTGGTGGAGGATTCATTCATGCATTCCTTCATTAATTCAGGTGAGATTGGACATGTTCAGGATGGGATGGCCGTAGACTCCTCTGTTCATTCAATCAGCATTTGCTGGGAGCCTGATATGTGGCTTGCACGATGCTGAGCATGTTAGCCGTAACCCTACATTTAATCTTCACAACAACTTTGTGAGGCTGGCATTATCGTCCCCATTTCACAGCTCAGAACTTGAAGCTGAGAGGTTGAGCAACTGCTCTTAAGTGATAGCACCTGGTTCTTAATAGTTTTAAATTTTTATTTTTTTAACCTTAATTTCCATACAGTAGAGCCTGGATTTGAACCTGGCCTCTATTGCCCCAAAGCCTGTGCTCTCCTGGCTGGAGGTCATGCAGGGCTTCCAGGGTGACTAGGGCGGCCTGGCCCTCAGCCCCTTTTAAAGTGGGCAGGTAAGTTCCTCCCCCTTGTCCACAGGCTCAGCTCCTCTCAGTCTCTCGATCCAGTCCAGGCCCTGGACACGGGGAGAAAAAGTCACCGGGCGCTCCTGAGTTCATGTCATATGAGCTGTCTTCTGACCCTGCTTGACCGCTGGGCTCCTGGCAGCTGGGATCCTAGCCCCAACCCACGCCTCCTGGTGCCTACTGCCAGGTTGCCTGCAGCCGACCACCTGCCACTTGGTTCCACCACGTGCCCACCCACCCATCTCTGCCAGGACAGATGCTCTCCATCCTGGACACCTGTGACTAACTGGACTGATCTCGCTCTGCCTGCTGGAGCAGGGGTTCTCAATGGGGGATGATTTTGCCCCCCAGGGGACAGTTGGCAATGTCTGGAGACATCTTTGATTTCACAACTGGGAGGCTGCTACTGGTGTCTGGTGGTGTCTGATGGTTATAGGCCAGGATGCTGCTGGACAGATAGTGCACAGAAGCCCTACATCAAAGACTTATTCAGCCCCAATGTCAATAGCACCAAGGATGAGAAAACCTGTGCTGGATTAACAGGCCCAGACTTGCCCTGGGGCTCTCTCTCAACCTACAGTTCCTACAACTCACCCTCGCCCAGTCCTGGCCCTCACTGACCTGTGGCTCCTCCCATTTTTAGGAATCCCATTCTTCTATAGTTTGGCCTGGTCTATCTTCACCCAACATCTTGTGAGGACAAATAATACTTCATTTACTGAGTATTTATTCTGTGCCTGACTTTCCCGACCTATTTTACTCAGTCCACTCAACAACCCAATGAAGTAGGATTGATGTTTACTATTCCCACTTTACAGACAAAAAAGCTGAGGCCCAGGGAGATTATAG